AAGGGGGAACCCGTCGCATCTGCGTTTTGGTCTTTTACGCGTTCATTGCGTTACCTCACCGGCAAAAGTTCAATAAAATGCCTCTACAGTGAATTTGCAACTCGCATGGGGAGCTTGCAAGAGGGTACTCCGCAGGTTAGCCTACCCCCAAATCCATCGTTTTGAGGAATCTACTTGGGGACACCCTTTTTCCTGACCAGCTCGCGGAGTTCGACTTCTCAGTGAGCCACCGAGAAGTGGAGAAAGCCAAGAGGACGCCCATGAGATCCAAAGTGCCTGCAGGTTGGCTGTGCAGGTTTCGGGGGCTCTCCTCATTGGGAAGCCCGTTTTTTTTTTGGGGGGGGGGTTCCGCGTGAACTTGCCGAGCACATGGCCTTGGTATGTGCTTTCCGCTCTTGGTGCCAAATCTTAACATGGCTCCCTAGCCAACAAGACTTGACCTTCCCACAGCTGAGGGAGAGGGTTGTGTCCTGGCCGGACGAGGGTGAGGATGGCCGCCTTCTACCCCGGTTTTCTTGATGGGTTCTTACTTGGTGGGCTTGGGTTGGCCCCTGGCAGCCTGGCACCGTTACGTGGTATGCTCTTTGAATGGTACTTGGGGGAAGGTAGATGGCGCAATTCCCAGGCTTCAGTCATCTTCTTTACTTACCCGCATGGCTCTTTACCTCAAAAGTGGCTCGTGGACATGACACCCCACCTAAATGTCCACCCAAGAGTCCCTCTTCAATTAGTTTTGCTCAAATGAGTTGGCGGTTGGCTCCTTTCACCCCAGTTCTTGACCACATTGGCCTTTCCGGCAATGGTCAACCCACCCAGCCACCAAAACTATAGCTACCCCCTTTTTGTGATTTGCCTGAAGATCCATGTATGTCTGCCAGGCCATCATCTGAGCCTTTGCCGGGGGGGGGGGGGGCGTCCACAGCGATGCCTTGTGCGGGGAAAAAAAGGGTTGTGCGGAAGCCGCACGTACCAGTCATTGCTCGTCGAAAACCAGGAATTCAATTTGGGATTCGACAGCGGGATGGTACGAGCATCCCCGCAATCAATCAACCATTTTATGAATCCTTGATACCGGGGTTGTCAACCCGTGGTTGTTGAAGAGGGAAGTGCGGTGGCTGTCTCACATCCCGTGGAGGCGCTCCTGCAGCTGAAGCACCCAACCAATCGGCCCAGGCTGATTCCGAGGTTGACATTACCGTTTGACCCCTATTGATAAGCAAAGCAAACGCCCCAGCAAATCCATTACTTGTTTTCAGGTAATCTCCCATATTCCACTCTGGGCGGAAAGCAAGGGCTTCCTTAAAAGGTTTTCCGCAGGGTCCGTGGCACATGAGATTACAAGCCAAAGCCTGACCACAAGCAATAGTATATTATAGTCAGCTGAGAGGGCTATTCCCGGTGCATTATGATTCCTTGCCTTGGCTAAGGTCACCATGGCTGGTGTCAGCCATTCTGCAACATTGCCTCATGGACCCGCCAACGTTAGCGTGGGGCATGCTTCCGAGTTCAACTTGTCCCATGTGGATTCCACCTCACAAGCAGCGATAGCAGGTGCCTGGATGCTGGCACGTGTGCCTAACAAGGGCCCTATATGTCTTCTTCCTGTGGTTTTAAACAGCGCTTGAGGCGAGTTTGCGAGGGCACATGTGGAGAGGCCAGTTTGATGCACGGACTGCAATGTTTGACGGCTGAGAGTTGCTGACAACAGATTCTTTCCATGGCTCTTTGCAAGGGCTTCCCCTTCTGGAGACGGACTCGCACGGGAATTGTCGAGAGCCAGACGATCAAACACTGTTTCTCCTGTACCCCATGAACACTTGGAGATGATGCAATATTGAGTTTTCCAAACATGAGGATTGAGAATGGGTGCCAAGAGATGGCAAATGTGAGAGCCTTCCACAAGCATGAGCGGGACACACGGAGATCCGGAGCGCTAAGGCAAGTTTGTGGGTCGCCTTTTTGTGGACACAAAACCACACCAGGGATTCCAGCAGGGGATCCAACTGTTCACCCCTCCCCACTTTGCACACACACACGGTCACGTGGCCGCCCTGCAATGAACATATTGGAGAAGGTCGGGGACTTCATCTCGAAGCGGGGTGAGGACCGGGCGGAAGATGCGTTTACAATCATGGGCACATTCGCAGCGACCAAACCCCCCCATTGGCTACTGTAGTAGGTGGAGCTACTGCCTGGTCTCATGGTGGTAGTAGCCAGGCGTACATGGGTGTGTCTAAAAACTTGGGACCCCGCAAATGGTGGTGTTCCTGCTAGGTTCCTTTTTCTTTAGAAAAAACACAAAGCAGATACCCCTTCAACAGACAGACCCATATAAACCTTAACCATCTTAGCAGAATCACCAGTCAATAGCTCGTGGGCGCTTCTCAACTAACCGAAAAGGGTACCCTCCCATCCACTAACATGGAAGCTCACAGAAGACCGTTTTCCTTTCAAAAGGACCCCCTGCTGGGTTCCATGCTAGTGATTAGTGGGCCAGAGGGTACCCTCAAAAAATGACACCAATGTAGCGCAGTTGGGAAATTGGAATCCCTTGGCTAGCCCTTGCTGTATCCATGGGCTACCATCGGAAAAACCTTCTTTTGGGGCAGTCTGTTGGTAGGGGAGGCGTCAGGAATCACTCACACCATTGAGAAATCCCTTCCAATATGCACCACGCTTGGACTTATTCGAGGGCCGCTAGGACTGGCCGGGCGCCCTTCCATCAACAACCCAACCAACCTGAAGGCCACCCAAAAATGGGTTGGACTCGCGCCACTCGGAGGGCCTGCCAAGAGTTACCAAAACCCGGAGAGGCAGGAGGTGAACTAAAAGTGCAGCAAAACCAAAGCAAGTTACGATAATAAGACTTATAGGGATTCCAACTTGTTCCCTTACTGATGCCCCAAATATTGCAGGTAGCGGAAACCGAAAGGTACAGGGATGTTGTGGTTGTTCATTTGTTCGTTTTGTTAAAGGCATCCGCCATATCTCGGACGCTTTTTGGGGATTTTGGGACCCAGACTCTGAACCTTCAAGGAAACCAAAAGGTAACATGGGGCTTTGGCCAATGTAGGGGGGATTGATCTTGAAAGCCATGTATTCCAAGAAGGACAACTCATTTTGTTGTTTTTCAGTTGGAAGGACCTTCAGAAGCAAATCTCCGGCGTCCGCGTTTTCTCCGCGTATATCACCAATGCCACAGACGACGTGGGACCCGTCTGATTGCGCCAAAGGGGGATCGTATTGGTTTCGAATTTAGGGACCTCTCCAGGTGATTTGCCTTAGCCAGCCAAAATGGAAGGAGGCTCACTTTGAGAAAGGCCCAACAAAACTTGGCTTGTTGAACCGAGTTGGGCCCTTTTGACTTTTTCAGACGACCAACATGGGGTTTTGGGGTACTAGTACACCAAGTTATCTCGTTACAGGACAATAAGGAACCGTTCCAGCCCACCAGGCATCCCTTCACAAGTTCTCTCGATCCGTGGGAAGTGACATGGCACCCATGAGAAGGTGTGCTGAAGAGCAAATGTTGGCGTTCCGCAAAAAAAAAGAGCGAACCTGGCAGCTTTCAACTTGGGGCGCTTCTGAAATTCGGAGCTTCTTTGGATGGACGAAATCCAATTCACACCACTTTGAAGCCATAGGAAGCCATTGTTGGTTGGTATTTGCGTTGGGAAATCATGATTTTCGGGTTCCTCAGGTGGGTGCAGGATTTCGTGCATCCACAGTACCAATTGATGCCAAAGAAAAGAATGCATCATTTGCTTGTTGCTTGGGTGAGTGGCTCAAATGAAATCTTGCGCCTTATGCCAGATTCGTAGTCCTCCTGCGGCTTTTTCGGATTGGGATTCGGGATCCCATGCTGAACAGCCGGTTTGTGTGCCCTTCACAATTGCTTTCACTCACCCATTCCAATCTCGGCAAATGTTGGGGTTCCTTATGCCGAGACCGTGATCTATGCTTGAAAGGAAACGAAAGGAAAGGAACTCAAAGAAGGGTGCCCTTTGCAGTTTTGGAGTTCCAGTCCTTGACCCGGCTTCCATGTTTTTCTGGGCAGCTGGCTTGCCAGGTCTTGCAGTTGATCGGCCAGCCCATTCTGAGCCATGCCAGGTACCGGCTATCGGGAAGGTGGCAAGATCTTCATTTCAATGTGTGTGTGTGCGTGTCCAGTATCGGTTTAGCCTTGGGTCTCACAAGGTGGTTCCCTTGGGATGGTGGTTTCCAATAGGAGTTATGGAGTAGGATTCAACAAACCAGTGTTTACAGCACCTGGAGGCACATGTCGGTACATGGCGTTTATTAGTTTCGACACTGGCAGATTCAAAGCGTTGTTTTTATTAGGGTGCTGAGTAGCTCATGGTGATCTTGATGTTGGAGGGTATGAGATGTTCATTTGCTTTGAACCCCCTATCTAGCACCCAGAGCAGCCTTCCAAGACATACTTCCGTTTTGTTTGAGAATCTGGGTCTCTCCAACTGGGCTCAATATACAACGTTGAGTGATCATTTTGGTACATGATGCAATGTGCCTCTATGATAAGGTGCGTCCCCTGGAAAACGCGTCAATGTGATCCCTAGACCTGAATTGCGCTGGAAACTTGCCACTTGAGTGCTGTGATCCACCCACAAAGTCACATTGCATGTTGAGAGAGCCAAAGGGGGAGCCCTTGAAAGCCTTTCAGCCGAAGGTTTCGCCCTTGAAAGCCGATGGCTGCAAAGGCACCAGGCCTTTCTTAGCTTGCGACTACTGGCCAAGGGGCCGAGCAGTAGGGCTTTGACCACTATATTTGATGTATTCCTGGAGGTCCATAAGGTGAAGGATCCATAAATGGAGTTCCCCCCCCAAACTCCAAACGCGGGCTGTTCGTTCTGGACAACCTTCTGAGCGGCAGCTTGAAGAAATGTAAAGCGGTTCTGCGTGGACTTTGCCCCGGAGAGATTGAGAGAACCCGTACACGGTTGCGACAACTCAGCGAAAAAACCAACCCAAGTCAACCATCAAATTGACAAAATGTGCTTCTTGCTGTTTAATCACAACAGCAACCTGGCCCACAGGTAATGAGTCACTTGAATCAGTTTTCTGAATTCTCACACCAGCGAGTTTCTGCTTGCCTGCGCTTGGGGCAGGCATTGCCGCCACTTCGCATCACTACAGCCGGGGGAGGCGGGGGTGGTGAGCTTCAGTCACGACGGGGAGCACGGCGGTGCGCTGCAGTTCCGCCTGGGGGATGACACACTCTTCCTGGGCCAGCGGCTATGCCAATGACCTGGTTGGGGAAAATGGTGTGTTTTGTTTCTACGTTTTTCCTTTTAGATCCTTCTTGTGGAAAGTTACCCATGGTCGGCACTGGGGGCCAGGAATATGAATCAACCCCCAAGTGACCTGGTTGGGGAGAAGTGTCATCTGTTTGCACTCAAGCCTTTCGATGTGAGATGCACTCCATTCATGGAGCCCTGGTCCCGGTGGGTGCGAGTCCGAGGCCCGAGAGTGCAAATTCAAGATATGGGAAGGCGAACAATTTTGGGAATTCGCGTGTGCGCAGGTGGACGGGGCAACCACTTATGAGCATGGTTAATTACATGACATGCTCAGCCACCTTTTGGCCACCTCTAAAGGGAACAATCCGTTCGCACCACTTTGTAACCATGGGAAACCATTGTTTGTTTGCATTTACAGGGGATCATCATCACCATTCCAGGGCTTCTTAGGTGGTGCAGGATTGCGTCCATCCACTGTTTGTTCATGGTTCTTTTAGTACTTTCCTTTCAGCACGTTCCTTTTAGTACTACACGTTTGTGGGAGTTTCAAGATATGTTATGTTGGTTGAAGAAGTACGCTCCAGCTACGTGAATTGGGTTAATTTCAAAAGTTTCAGGGCGCCTTCCATTAGTCGAATCAACTAACACGAGCCCTTGGATGAGTTTTGGGGCACTTGTCTGGGCCAGCAACAAAATGTCCATTGGGTTCGTGGTTTGATTGATCTAAAACGGGTTGCCTCCCTCCAAAAACCCATGACACAAGAAAGCTGAAAATTGATGGATCTTTTGAGGGTTGAACAGGGTCCCCCTCCCAAAAGCATAAGGCACCAAAGATGGGTTGCCGGGCCGTTGCGCCGTGATGCCAGTTGCTTCCCTTTTGGGCTGATTTTGAATACCACCTGGGCCAGATCGAGCTAAGCTTCCCTTTTTCGGGGAATAGAACCTTAGAATTGGGGGACCTCACACCCTGAAAGGAGGGCATTTTAAGGTACATGCGCGCCAGCTACTCTTCGCTCTTCGGCAGCGACCAGTTCGTCGTCGAGTTCTCGGGCAAGACGCTGAATCAATTCTACGCCGGCATCTCGGCCTCTTTTTTGGCGTGACAACAAGAGACCTGCACCCCAGTGAAAATTGTGTTGTGTTCCTTTTTTGTGTGCTTCCATGCTAATTCAAAGGGATGACAATAACCTTTGTTGGGGGGAGGGGGGCAATTGTGCCATCTACTTTCACCAAAGAAGTGCTAAATGCTTTTCGACGTAGCTCAGGCCCGGTTTGGATTGGTTTGGGATTTGAACCCATGTTTCTTGTAGAGGGCAAATGGGAAACCCCTCTGTTTCATCCCGCCGATTCGGCTCGAAGCTGAATAGCCCCTTGGAGTCTCGGCCCTTTAAAACTCTGAATGGGGTCATCACCCTAAATGGGGTCATGTCCCCTTTGTTTAGTTCGGGTCAGAAGGAGGCTCCAGGTCCCCATGGGATGTTCTGCGTGAGGCATGCCCCAGGATTTCATGGGCGTGCCGGGGCGCGGCACCAGCCGCGCCATGGGGCTCCTCCACTCCGCGCTGGTGCGCCAGGCGCGAGCCTCCGCCAACTCGGAGGCGCGCTCAGGTCGCGGGTCGCGATTGGGTCGCTTCAGGTCGCTGAAAATCGCTTTGGTCGGGGGAGGGCGGGGGTTAAGGGGTGAAGAAGTGGAGGGGAGCCTTTGATTGCTGTGCTGCGTCGCACTCCCCTCGGGTGCTAATTATTGGGTTGGCTTTAATCTAGAACTTTTTGGGGAGGTGCGTGTTTGAGCCGAAAAGTTAAAGCTTCTGCAGTTGGGGGAATGGGCGTGCCTGAAGTCCAAGTCATGCGCCCATCGTTCGTTTTCACACGTTTTTGAAGCAGCTTCAACCTCCGTTTGGTTTGCCTTGATCGGGAAGAAGGGGTTGGATAATTTCCAGGGTGCAAAGCAGGCCCTTGACTGCGGATGAACATGATCCAATTTTTGCCGGACCCATCCAGCCAACCCAGTTGCGGTCTTTGGCCAGCCGCATTGTGCCCATTTGCGCATTGGAGGGAGGGTAGCTTGGTTGATTGGTAAATGGGCGTACCTAGAAGACAAGGCCGGCTTGTCCACAGGTCCGGGGACCTTAAAACGGACAATCTGGGATATTCTTAGACTCCACGGTGGGAAGGCCGCACTTTGCCTGGAACCTCAGAAACACAGATTTTGGAGGTGCCTCCTTTGAAAGAACATCGATATGCGACTCGCGCCTTTGGAAGGACACCTGTCGTTGCACATTGGGTTGGTTCCTGGGGAACTTTGTCATTAGAAAGGCCCCATTCTCACTTCCTGAGTTGGTGGACTTTAAACTTTTTGGAAAGACCATTTTAGTGGTAAATAAAAAGTTCAAACTTTTTTTGGCCAGTCAACTTGGGAAGTGAGCATCATTTGTTTTACAGAGGGGTGCCTGCTCAACAGTTGGTTCCTTGCCCCTCCCACATTCTGGTGGTAGCCTGAGGGCGCATGGTGAACCTTGCTGTTTGTTTGGTGTGGTTGTATTCATTTTTGTGTTCACTCGTCGTTCTTTCGCCAATTCCAGTTGTTAGTAGGTTCATTTGTTTACCCCCGACTCCAAATAACCACTTGTTTTAGGGTATCATGCCGACCCTCTACTAAAAAAGGAGGTGTTTACCTTGCAAAACCAGGTTTTCCACAAAATGCTCCAGAAAAAGTGGGTATTTGGAGTAGGGGGTAGAACAGGGCACATCTCTGATCATGAGATCCGGCTCCTCAGGTGGAGGTGATACTGGTGCCGGCGAAAGACGTTCACATCGTTGAGGAGCTGGACAGCTTAGACAGCTTGCAGCACCGGGGCCGCAGGTGTGTCGATCTTTTCGGGGCTAATGGAAACCAAGGAACCCCACCCATTTTGAGACACTCTTGGGATTGGGGTTTTGAATTGGTGAACCTGGGTCCTTTCCAGTGACTTGCATCAACAAACCTGCAGTGCTTTTTCTGAAAGCGGGTCCCTCAAAGGATCCCTTGAAAGGATGCCCGTTCCGGCCAGTTAAACAACTCACTCTAAGCAGCTGGTTTAGAGGATCCCTTGTTAAGCAGCTGTATCCTTGAGGAATCCTGTTTGAGCGTACCCTTTATGGCAGCCGCACTGCGTACCAAGTTTAGCCCACCTGTTAAGGGAGCTGCCTTGCTTTGGCCGAGCTGATCTACTTGTTTTTCTTGCTGGTTTTTGGGGGTTTCCAATCCCCATCGCTTTGTGGATTGGCATGGCCTAACTTACTGGCCCAAAAGGAACACCATCGTTTCGCGTGTTTTTTTTTTTTTTGGGGGGGGGCTCCAAGACATCCCCCAGGGGTGTCAACATACAGATTCGCACATTATCGAATGCATACATGTCCACACACATGCTTGTACATATGTGAACTGTTTACATCCAACAACCGATGATGCTTGACTTCACGAAAAAGTCATCCGTCCAAGGTCAGCGGCACATGCCATCGCTCTTTGTGGCACAAATGGTTGTGCAAAGTCAGATGCTGAAAGTTCAAGTGTTCTGCACATAGGCGTGTAGGTGGACAAACACGTAAGGTAAGTAGAATAGCTGGATAGATCGATGGATGGATGGATGGATGGATGGATGGATGAATTAGCTGGACACGATACAGACAGGCAGGTAGGCAGACAGACAGGCCGGCAGGCAGCCAGGCAGACAGACAGCAATTGCCTGTGAGCTGGCTTTTAGTTTGGGCAGCCTCTGGATGTCAGAGGTTTGAAACACGCTGAAAACGCAAACAAAAAGCAGATCCCCTCTTGAGCCTCGTTGCTTGCGCCTCGAGCAGTGTTTGGAAGGTCCCCTTTTCCATTTGCCACGCAAGATGGCAGTTTTGACTCAAGCCATGATGAGACGTTGCCTGCAATGTGGGCGTTCGGCTTATGAGGAGGCGGGGGTGAGGGTGCCACCATGGTTGAATGATGGCCCGAGTCAGCAAAAGCAACATGAATGCCTGAGCAAATTAATTATATTACATGATGCGCATGCGTAGGCTTCTTCTTGCCTTTGCAATGAGATCCGCACATGCGCGGACATTCCCAAGCACAGGACAGCTGTAAGTCGCACGGCGCACTCTGGCTGAGCCATGGTGCGGAAAGTGAAGAAGGTGAAGGCGAAGAAGAAAGCGGAGGCCCAAGAGGCCCAAGAAGAGCGCCATGAAGATGAGCCTCGGCGGATATCGAGCGTGAGAGGCGGGATGCAGAGAATTTGCGTAGTTCCTGCCCCTCATTGAATATCCAGCCATTTTGTGGCAAGCTCACCGGGCGGCAAACCGAGCTCACCGGGGTCAAGATTCTTTACTTGAGGATCCCTTACTTCTGGTTTTAGAATTATTGCAAAATTTGCAGATAAATGCTCCCTCTTCAGAACTAGTCCCCTTCCCCACGAATGCATCAGGGGGCGTCTTTATCATCAGGGGAAGGGGAATTCAGCTGATGACATGATCGAACTCTGTCGCTCCCCGATGACAAATCAAACGGGGCCCATCCATATGGCTGTTTGCCTTTGGGCTTTCCCTTGCAAAATCCACCCATGGCCCACAGGGAAACATTTCAAAGTCACTGGTTTGTTGGCTAACCCATCCTTCAGAAAGAAGTTCTCGCAGAGCCACATGACGGAGTTGGGAGGTTGGACTATCAGCTGGTAGCTTGTTAGCTCAGCTGAGGAGCTTCAGGCGATCAAGGAGAGGGATCCCGAGTTCTACAAGTTCCTGGTGGAACAGGCGACGCGATGGAGAACTGCAAACGACACTCATGGCACGTGGACGAAGTAGCGGAGAAACTCAACAAAAGGAGGCCTTGAAGGCTTCGAATGTGATAGGTGGAGGCAGTTTGGGTCCGTTGTTTGATTTACTCTGTTTTCTCCTGAAAAGCTGACCCGGGTTTTGCAAGCAAACAACATTGCGTGCTTGTCAAACTGCAGAGGAGGCATTATAAGTGGTGGTGTTCTTTGGTTCCCCCTGCAACCAAGCAAAACGGGCACCGCGCCTCAAAAACCAATGTGCGGGGGGGTTACTCTTTTGACCTGCCTGGCGCTTCTGGCGCCGTTTGCCAGGACCAACAGCTCTTGGACTTCAGAGACGACGAGGGCGAGCCCAGCGAGGCGGAAGGCGAAGGCAGCGATCCGATCCTGGTATTCCTCTGGCCGGAGGTGCAAACAATTTGTCCACCGTATGGCAAATCCTTTACGAGAGAACCATTCTTGAATCTATGGAAACCATGGTTGATATATGCAGGGGAAGCAAATCCTTCCAGGGTTTCTTAGGTGGTGCAAAATTTGTGCATGCACAGTTTGGCCTCCTTTGTGAGAAGACTTAACCTAGCCAAGCTAGCAGTCGCAGTGGAAACACTGTTAGGAGACGCCTCCCCAGAGATCCTTGATGAGGTCGCCGCATGTAATTACCAGCACCATTGCCATAGCCCCGAGTCTTTGGGGTACACCAAAACCCAACTCGGGGGCACGCCACAAGGTTTCCGACATTTTTTCCACCAAATCTCAGGAGACTGTTGCTGATCGTTGCTGGCTGGCTGATATAGCAATGGAGTCTCGACACGTCGAGAAAACACCTCGTTGTGCATAAAGCAGCTTCTCGTGGCCGAGTTTTAAATAGAGGGTCTAAAATCTAGAGAATCTGAAACAACACGTCCGCTGGTATTTTCCTGTTAGGCCAATTGACAAGCTTTGGGCTGGTGTCCTGGTTAGGGTCATCTGATTTGAGCCCTGTAGCCTTTGGAGCTTTCCCGAAAGAGCAAAGTGTATGGGCCAAACAAACCTGCGTGAAGGTCACGGGACAGTCTCCTTGCCAGGTGTCAATTCATCCTTCGAGGGGGGGGGGGGGGATTTCTTTCTTTCAGGCGGGCCGATTGATGGCTGGGGCATTCATTTCTCAGGTTTGAACTTTGGTGTGAAGCTCCACCCTTTCGATCATGTACCATAGTTACGGGGAAACCCTCTTCAAAAATGGCAGGTTCGACTGTGACTACACTGGCCAAAAAATCCACGAACAACGAGTTTGTTTTCTACCTCAAGGTAGACTGAAACCCAGAGGTTGTTAATCTCCCGGAAAGCCCGAAAGGGAAGCCTCTGGGTGTGGTCTATACCTTGGGATAGTCAAAGAATGGAACCCTGAGGATACAACAAAAACGCACAGAGAGACAGAGAGAGAAAGAGAGAGAGAGAGAAAGAGTCTGGGAGTGGCAGAGGGAGAGAGAAAGCGCGACACGGTTTCTGCAGGAGCTGAGGGACATTTGGTGCAGAGCACGAAGACCACGCGGTTTTTGACCCTGGCGCGCTTCAGGACCGGCGGTTCGGGGGAGAAAAAATAGCCACCGGGGAGCACGTGGCCACATAGGCTGTCCAGCAAAATGCTTTGTTTGGACGCTGCCGCCTGGCGCCAATTTTTTTGCAGCGGCTACCAAAACCGGGCCCCCTAATTCTTACAACCCTCCAGCTCAGAACCCTTTGCAGATCGGATTGAAGGAAAGCTAAAATGGAATATCAACATTTGGGGAGGCAGAAGGTTGGAGGTATGCATCATGATCACATATCCCAGTATAAGTCAATCGTTTGTCACACAGCTTCTGTGCCCCCTTATATTTTCTGTTTTGTTTTTCACAACTGGTATAAAGCCAGATTTCCAAGCCTCCCCTCCTTTTTGCCCCTCCGCAGCTGGAATTTTCTTGAACCGGCCTCTTGGGTCTCCCCGGGTCCCCCCCCCGTCCACGCGCTCGCTCGGCTCCTCATGGCTTTTGGCTCGACTCGAGGCAGATCGAGGGCTCCGCGAAGGCCTCCTTCAGCGCCTTCAAGGCGGCGGCGAACGCGTACCACTTGGCCGTGAAGTCCATCAACCAGAAGGACGGACGACTCGACGGCTCGGACGCGGCTCACCCGAAGCGAGCGCTAAAGCGCGAAAAAGCGGAGATGGGAGAAATGCGAGTGCAGTGGGATGCGAAGATATGCGAAGATCGCGGGGTGGAGGGAATCGCCCTGTTTTTGTTTTGTTTTTTTGTTGGGTTTGGCTTGTCTCGCAAGGAAGGGAAGCTAGGTGTTTGTAGGAGCAAAACCTGAAAAGCGAGAGTGGGATCGAGCCGAAGCTGAGTGGGATCGGGCGGGAAGCGCCCGGGGGGATTTTTTGGCTTGGCTCGCAAGGAAGGCGAAGAGCGTGTTTTGTGTTGTTGATGTTTGGTTGCCGGAGAATGGGGGGCAAACAATGGGGGGCTGGAGACTTCTTGGAGAAATGTTACTTGAATGTCCTCTTGGTGACCCCTAAAGTCAGAATCAATCAACCAAACTAGAGAGAAAAGCATGTGCCACCCGCAAGCCTTTGGAGGTCTGGGCTTTCCCCTTCCCGCTTTTGGAAAAATGAGGAGACCAAATGGAAGGGACAGAATCTGGGGGGCTTTCCGGTTGAAAGGAACCCAGGCGCCTATAGCATGGAAGTCACATGGATCGGTTGCACCGGGTTGCATTTTGTTCCGACCCGGGTCGAAAGGATGATGGTCGGTGTCGCAATTCAATAGAATAAAAAGCAAACTCCGAATTGGTGCCAGCAACACTACCCAATTCTAGAAATTCTACTCCAATTTATTTGATTTGGGGGTCCTTTACTTTAGTGGGATCAATTGTTGGCCGGGTAGGGGTGCACAAGCAATCAAAGGCCGCAATTCTCCGACTCCGTGCCCGTGGGAAGTTTTCGGAAGGACATTCCAGCCTATTTCCAGTACATGTGAATTGCGCATGCCATTTGCGGACATGGTGCGGACCAGGTCCAATCTTGGTCCAGACATGGTGCCATTTACGGACATGGCCATGTCCAGCACATGTTTTGGCTACGCAAACAAGCCGCGAAGCTGCACCCTTGCACCCTTCCGCGGCCAGGAGGGCGAGGAAGGCGACGAGGACCAGCCCGAGCGCAAGAAGCCGCGCTCCGCGAACTCCGTGAAGAAGCAGAAGCGCTACGGCCTGACCATCGCACCTCGGAGAAGTCTTCGTAGGCTACCCCAGCTACGGCTTTCAGCCGGGGGCGTTCCGATTTTGCTTTCTCAATCTTGGCAGAGCGGTTGTAGGGTGAACGGCATAGTGGGGTCGAAAAAGGGACTTTGTATAAAACGTAACTATGCCAAAATGCGAGTGCGTTAAATAGGGGACCCTAAAAATGTGGAATCCCTTTTGTTCTCCTTTGAGGATCCTGAAAAACATACCCAAATGAACAGCAGCCTGCTTTTGGGTTCCCCATGGTTCCCCCCAATTCTGGGAATCACACAATGCAAGCCGCCACTTCCGAATCGATGTTTTAGAAAGCGGATTGGAGGACAGGGTTCTTTTTTGCCACCTTTTGCGGCAAAATGATCGACTCCCTCGTAGTGAAGGATTCCTTTTTGCGGGGGGTCGTCAGTTTTCTCTCGAAAGGTGGCAGAAAGACACCCCCGCTGGAGGATGCTATGAATACGGACCTCTGGCGGGACTTGCGTACGATCCCATCAGTCGTAAGTACTGTGAATTCGAATGTTATCGCCCTCAGGGCTGGACTATTAGACAAAAATAATTGTCCTGATTCAGAATGTGACTGTTCCACTGTTCCGGGGTGGGTGGGGGGGAGACTTTCAAAACAGCCCCAACATTACGGAGTACCTGTGGCATCCGCAAAAATAAGAGATTTAACTCATTTCTTCTGCTATGGTTTCAGCAACGCTGGTCACGTCTCCCGATACACAAATGGCAAAGGCAGCCTTGGTTTGAGTGTGCCTCCTTGCATGGGACACGTGGCAAATTGCCCGCTGCAACCGCGAAATCAAGGCTCGTATATTCTACCGCCTCTATTCAGAACCTCATTTGCGGGCTACACTGGGTTCATTCCCAAAACATCCTTTATCAAAGTTTCCGGTTGGCTTGCTTGCAACAGTTAGGAAGTGCATCGTGGGGTTTCAGTACCTGAAATGCAAGGATCGCCTCCACACAATTTGCAATTCTTTGGTGGTTTTGCAAACACATGGCACTTTTACCCACAGCCATCTGGCACAAATCATGAGAGTGAAATAGGGCCGCGCTGCATGGTAGCGGAGCCCTTGGACAAGTCCAGGGGCAGACGCCGGGTCATCGGCCAGAGGCGAGACCGTCAGCCTGCGCCGGGCCGGGGTGAGCCGGAGGAGAAAGGCCGGCAGGCTGGTGGCAGGGCCCTGGTCCTGGGTGGCCGAGCGGCTGGAGGCCGCTGGAGGAGGTGGATCACCGCGGTGGTCCTGGTGCTGGCCTACAGCGTGGACCTGCACCTGGTGATCATCGGCTGCCTCGATGACTTCGGCGGAGGAGGTGATGAGAGCCCTGCAGCAGGTGCAACAGCAGCTGGTCCAGGTCCAGCAGGAGAATGCACAGCTGCAGGCGAGACTGCAGGCCACTGAGCAGGGCCCAGCGAGCGGCTCGGGAGGCATGGAGACCCTGGCGAAGCTCGGCAAGAAGGAGCGTGGAGGCCTGGTGGACCAGAGAGGGTTGGGGAAGCCCTACACGCTGGGGGAGGACGCCGAGGAGAAGTTCCGGGTTTGGGCATCGAAGCTGGAGGACTATGTTACGGGGGTCTTCAGCGGCAAGAGCCGGGAGGTCCTGGAGTGGGCGGCAGGCTCTGAGGGCAACATCGTGGCCGAGGAGATCGACAAGGCCTACGGCACGGGGGCTGATCTCATAGATCAATGGGATGAGGTGCTGGAGTTCAATGAGCAGCTCTACACCGTGCTGAGAGCCACGACAGAGGGCGTGGTTTTCGACCTGGTGGAGAACGCCCCTCGGGGCAATGGGCTGGAGGCCTGGAGAATGCTCCACAACAAGTATGATCCGGCCACGGGAGGCCGGAAGAGGATCATGCTCCAAGCCCTCACGAACCCCGACAGAGCGGGGTACGACTCGCTGAGCAACGCCCTCGAAAGATGGAAGTCTTTGAGAGGCCGCTACAACAAAAAGAAAGACCAATTCGGGAGGCGCGAGGACCTGCCCGACAGCCTCGCCATGAATGCATTAGAAAAATTAGTTCCTCGGGAGCTGGAGACGCACCTCCTGCTCAATCACAGCCGCTTCAAGACCTTCGAGGAGATGGAGGCGGAGGTGGTCACGTTCATGGAGGCCAAGACGGGGAGCAAGATGACGGTGTCGGGCAATTTCAGCAAAGCCGCAGCGAACGAGGCGGTGCCCATGGACGTGGATTCATTGGTCAAGGCTGTGTCAGGAAGCCTGTCATCGCTGGTGAAGGGCAAGGGCAAAGGCGCTGGAAAGGCTCAACGCTTCGAGGGCAAGTGCGACAACTGCGGCAAGGTGGGACACAAGAAGAAAGACTGCTGGTCGAAGCCGCAGAGCATGGGCCGGGGAAAAGGGGCTTCAACACGTCCGATGGGGCCCAGCCAGAACAAGAAGTTTGAAGGCAAATGCAACAACTGCGGACGGACCGGCCACATGAAGAAGGACTGCTGGGCGGCTGGTGGAGGAGCTGCTGGAGGAAAGTCCAAAGGAAAGCAGAAAGGGAAGAAGAAAGATGCCGCAGCCCTGGAGGAGGAGCCAGAAGGAGAGGCGAATGGCCTGGAGCTATGTGCCTTGTCCAACACGAGCTCTTCGGCACGACCATGGGCGGTGTCCCCACTCGCCAAGAACATGAGGGCCAAGAGAGAGGCGGCTGGGATTAGCCAGAAGTCGCTCAAGTGCAACCTGGACACGGGCGCCTCGGTCACGGCCTTTCCCAAGAGGTACAGTGAGAAGCTGTTGGAGAAGGAGAACTACTTCAAGACAGCCTCGGGGGAGTTGATCAAGAACTATGGGCCGGTGAAGGTTTCGGGATATGATGCAGGAGGAGTCAAAAGGGTGCTGAACGGGCAGGCCACGGATGTCCACAAGGTGCTGATCAGCGCAGGTCGGCTACATCAAAAGGGGTACAGTACCTGGATGACCTCCGGAGGCGGGACGATCACCCCGAAGACGCACCCGGTCCATGAGCAGATGGAGGAGTTGATGGAGTGGGCCCTCAAGGAGCATGACAAGGGGCTGATCCCCTTGGTGGAGGAAAATGGGATCTATAACTTCTACCTGGAGTTGGAAGAAAAGGAGGAAGTGGCGGAGATGGTGGACGTAGCCATGCTGGAGCCTTCTTCACCGGAGGCCGCATCGAGCGCCGAGGATCCCGTGCCGGCAGCATCAGGCTTGGGAGCCAGACCTAAAGCCATGGCAAAGGAGGAGGATAGAGATGAGGAGGACGACGATGACATCCCACCATGGCGGAAGGAGTATGGTTGGAAGAAGAAGAGCGAGACGGTATGGGCGTTGGAGGACGAGGCTCCGGTCAGACCTGGAGGAGGTGACGCTGGAGAAGTTGTTGAGGAGTCGGTGGAAGCCAGAGCGGTGAATCCAGGCTGGAGTCCAGCCAATCCGTCTGCTCGTGAGAGAAAGGAGCATGAGGCGACCGGGCACGCGGTCTACAGGAGCTGGTGCGAAGAATGTATCAAAGCAAGAGGAGTGTCCAAGTCCATCGGAGAGTGGACCATCGAGAAGATCGGCTGCCTACGGTGTGTTTGGACTACTTCTACATGAGCGAGGAGGAAGGAGCCAAGCCGAACCTGGTGGCGGTCGATCGGGACACGGGCATGGTGATGGCCACAGCGATCAACCAGAAAGGAGTGGTGGACCTGACGGCGCAGAAGGCGTTGACGAGGTTCCGGGAGATACTGGGCTACAGGGAGGTGGTCCTGAAGTCGGATGGAGAGAGATCGTTGGTGAAGATGAAGATGGAGGCGGCAAAGCAGGCACGAGGAGTTTCCAGAGCGGTGCCGGAAGAATCGCCGCAAGGGGATGCAAGGGCCAATGGGCAAGCAGAGGTGGCCGTCAAGGAGGTCAAGTGGAGGATCAGGGCTATCCTTCTCACGCTGGCCAAGAAGTTTGAGGGTGGAGTACCTCAGGGGCATCCGCTGACGTATTGGGCACCCAGGTACGCGGCCGAGCAGATCAATCGATTCAAGGTCGGCGAGGACGGAAGGACCCCAGACGAGAGGAGGACCGGAAAGAAGTGGGTGAAGCCGATGCCGCTCTTCGGTGAGAAGATCCTGGTCAAGCCAGCTGGAAAAGGGCGGCGAGGAGACCTGGAGAAGATGAAGGCGGGTCGGTACTTGGGGACCCACAACAGGTTTGGGTCGGTGCTGGCAATGACCGATCAGGGGGTCATCGTAGGTACTGGACATCATGCCCTACCTGCAGAAGAGAAGTGGGGCAAGGTAGAAGAAGGGATGAGAGGAGTCGCCTGGGACGTAAAGAAGTACGTCGAGCTGGAGCCGCAGCCGAAGCCGCAGCAAGAGCAGCTGCCGACACCGCCGGTCGTGATCATTGGGGGTAGTCCCGGACCTGGAGGAGAGGTGCGGGCAGCTCGGGCGGAGGAGGCCCTAGAGCAGCCTCCAGAATCGCGACCCGCCGCGGCAGGAGAGGAGGCCCCAGCCCCAGGCACGCCAGGAAGAGGCAAGGCCTGGCCTGTGAGAAGGGAGATGTTGAACAAGTATGGAAAGACGCCTGGGTGTGGTGGGTGCATCTCCATCATAGGAGGCACCCAGCAAGTTGGGCATTCAGAAGAGTGCCGGTTGAGGATCCTGAAGAGGATCAAGGATGACGACGAGGCGGACCAAGAGAAGAGAAGGAAGCAACGCCAAGAGGATGAGGCAGAAGAGAAGAGAAGGTCACAGAAGAGGGCCGCATCTAAGGAGGCAAGAGACGAGCGGGAACAGCCCGCGGCGTTGGAGGAGCCTGGTTCGAGTAGAGACGGGCAGACCTCGCCAAAGAGGAAGGGCGGATCCGTGGACATTGAGGATTTGCTCAAGGAGGTAGAAGAAGAGGATGTGGGCCCTGGTGGCGCAGTGAGGGACGCGGCGATCAACATGCTGGCTGAAGAGGTTGGCAGCCGCGGTGCAGCGGAGTTGGTTGCGGACATCGGGGCATTGGATGTGGTGGAGATATTCTCACCCAAGAGGGTGACGCTGGAACTGCAGCGATTTGGCTTGCGAGATGGAGTGGCGGTGGATCTGGATGAGATGAAGCCGTGTGGAACGGCGAGATGGGACATGGATCAGGAGGCGGACTTCAAGAAGGTCTGCAACATGATCAAGGAGGAGAAACCGCTGCTGTTGACGAGCTCTCCCCCCTGCACAACATTCAGCCCTTTGCGGAGGATCACGAATCCGAAGAGGGACGCAGACGTGGTTGCCGGAGAGGAGAAGCTAGGGAGAGAGAGGTTGCAGAAAGCGATGAGGTGCTGCAAACAGCAGGCTGAGCAGGGAGGCATCTTCCTGCACGAGCACCCGAAAGGAGCATCCAGTTGGGAGGAACCGGAGGTGGAAGAGATGGTGAAGAGAGAAGGTTCTTTCCTGGTGCAGAGCCCCATGTGCCGCTTCGGCATGAAGATGAGGGATGATCATGGTGAAGAGTTGCATGTGAGAAAGGAGACGCTGTGGCTGACCAACAGCGAATGCATTGCGGAGGAGCTGAGGGGTGTGTGCGAGAACGTGCTACAAGGGCGAGAAGTCCATCGGCATGTTCACCTCATCGGCAAGGATCGTGCGAAGGCAGCCCAAGTCTACCCGGTGGAGCTGGTGGAGGCCATCCTGAGAGGCCTGCGAAGTGAAATGAGGAAACGAGGACAGATCAACAGCGTGGAGGAGATGTTGACGGGAGCCTCGCCGGACGATTGGGTGGATCAGGAGAAGGAAAACCAGGAGTTGGACGAGTTGTTCATGGACGACTCGTCGGGGACAGTCCTGCCAGCCGAGCTTGTGAGAAAGGCGAGAGCGGAGGAGTTGGACTGGCTCCGCAAGGAGGCGGTCTACGAAAGAGTTCCGAGGAAGCTCTGCGAGCAGAGCGAGCAGAGGAAGCCACTTCAACTGAAGTGGCTAGATGCGAATAAAGGGGATGAAGAGAATCCGAAGGTGAGGAGTCGGCTGGTGACGAAGGAGATCAAGAGGGTGAAGAGGCCAGACCAACAGCTGGGCGCAGAAGACACCTTCGCCGCAACGCCGCCTGTGGAATGCGTCATGATGATCCTGAGCCTGTTCATGTCGCAGAAGGGCATCAAGAAGAAGAGGAAGCTGGCGGTGTGGGACATCTCCCGGGCGCACTTCATGGGCAAGGCGGAACGGGAACTGTTTGTGGAGCTCCCGCAGGAGGACTTGGTGCACCCGGAGGATCAGGAGGCGATGGTAGGGAGACTCCTGCGGAGCATGTATGGCACGCAGGATGCTAGCAAGATCTTCCAGATGGACTACCAAGGTCTCATGGAGAAGGAGAAGGGCGAGTTCAGCAAGCTGTGCCCGGCGCTGTTCAAGTTTCAGGAGAGAGGCATCATCGGGCTGGTGCATGGGGACGATTTTTTGGTGCTGGCGGAGGACGACCAGCTGACCTGGATGGATGGCGTCCTCAACAGCAAGTACACGGCCCGGTGGGAGGCAACGGTCGGAGATGGGGAGCTGGACGGCAAGGAGATGTTCTTTCTCAACCGGCTCATCAGGTACGTGGCAGATGGAACGGATGGAAAACGCTTGGAGGTGGAAGCGGATGCGCGGCACGCGGAGATCCTGATGAGGTCGTTTGGGTTCGACTCCAAGACCAAGGGCAGCGACATCCCGGAGGATAAGATTCGGGACCAGGACATCATTGTTGAAGAGCGCTCCGAGACGTTGGACGAGGCCCAGACCGGTGAGTTCAGGTCTATGACTATGAGGCTGGCCTATTTGAGCCAGGACAGGCCGGATGTGATTCACGCCTCGAGGACGTTGGCGTCGGCCATGAAGAACCCGAAGATGGGTGATTGGCTTCGGCTCAAGAAGGTGGTGCGGTACCTGCTGAAGAACCCGTACATGAAGCGGACCTTTTTGGAGCAGAGGCCTGAGGAGGTGGACGTGCTGGCTTGGTCCGATTCGGATTGGGCCGGAGACCTGAGGACGAGAAGGAGCACCACGGGGTCGGTGGTGAAGGTTGGGCACCACACGGTGCTGATCAGAGCCGCGGGGCAGAAGGTGGTGGCGCTGAGCTCTGCCGAGAGTGAGTTCTACGGCATGTGCAGGACGACAACGCACGCGGAGTTCATCCGCGGGGTCATCAACTTCTGGGGCTACGCGGTGACGAGAGTCATGCTGAAGGTGGACAGCACGGCGGCTCGGGCGATGAGCCTTCGGAAGGGTGTGGGCAAGACGCGCCACATCCAGGCGAGGTTTCTTTGGCTACAGGACAAGGTCTTCGCCAAGGAGGTCGCAGTGGTGAAGGTAGATGGGAAGGAGAATGAGGCGGACCTGGTGACGAAGGTCCAGCCGGCGGCAGCGATCAAGGGCCACCTTGGTCGAATGCATTTTGAGCTTTGTGGCCGAAAAGGCCATAAGGCATTGCAGCGGTAGCTCCTCAAAGGGGCTGCCGACCTTTTCGTCGCTCAGGGGGTGCAAACACATGGCACTTTTACCCACAGCCATCTGGCACAAATCATGAGAGTGAAATAGGGCCGCGCTGCAGGTTTCCTTTGCCACTGCCCAGTTTTTGTTTGGTGTTATCTCAAGAGATTCCTTTTTGGGTTGCGGAAAATGCAATGTCACCTCAAAAAAAAACAAGGTACACTTTTAGCAAAGGTCCCAAAAGTGAACCTAGCTTTGCCCTTCCTAAATAGCTCTGGGGCTCCCTGTAAATGGACAAAAAAATAGGCTTCAGAACTTCAGGCTTCGGATGGTGGTCTATCCCAGTATTCATAGGCGCCTCAAAAAGGCCTTGGCGCGTTCAATGATGCCGTACTACAAGCCGTACTCCTTTGCCTGATCGGTGTGCGTCATCTGAGCGCCAGCAAACCATAGCAAATCTGAAGTCGAGGACAGCGAAGAGACGTTTTCGGAGATCCTGGAGTGGTGCCTCGCCAACTTTGTGGAGCTCTTGGAGCACCACGCGGAGCCAGAGGCTCGCGGCGCCGATGCGCTGAATTCATGAAAAGGTTGGGCCGTCCACGGGCACGGCGGGTCCCATGTCACCCACTCAGAAAAGGACACCGAAGAGGGGAAAGCAGCTTTGCTTTTCTTTTTTAATCAAGAATCAAGTTTAGCCATGGTTTTGGAAGGTTTTGGGTTTCACAGTCATGTCCGTTCCGAAAAGGGGTCCTGAAGATGGCGGCTGCGTTTTCAGTGGATGTATTTCCGGCGGTAACCATGGCTGTGGCTGCCATTCATCACACCTGCTGAAGGAAGTTGGTCAGTCGTTGGTTCGAGATAGGGGCAATGGGTCTGTTTTAGCGGGTTCCTCATATATACGGGTCTTCCCGACGCTCGGAGTGTTTAGGTCAGACTTGTCCCAAGAGAGTGTTTGAAAATGGGGGTCTCGCCACCTTTTTTTGCGGGTGCGTTTGTTTGTGTTTGTTCCTCCTATGCAGAGTGCCCCCCTGAAATCGATATCTTCTCCTCGCGAAAAGGAAGCCATCCTGAGCGGAGGGGTCACCCCCCCATGCAACTTGAGACATGTCAGGCATGGGAGCCACCAGGTTAGTTGACCTGAGAGAAGGCTTTCTTCATCTACGGACCCCTGTGGACCTTTGTCCTCAAGCACAAGGCGTCTGAATTAAAGGTAGGGGGTGGGGGTGGGGGAAATACCAGACGCTTTGCTGGTGAGCAGAGGTGTCCTTTTGCTCGAAAAACAGATGGCGATTCCTGATTTACCTGGTGGTTTTAATCATCTACCAGGGAAATCCATCTATTTCCCCCAAAAGGACACCTATGCTGGTGAGTGCGTTTTGGGGCATCTTCCGCTGCCTGACCTTTGCAGGCGAAGCAGAGAAGCCCTACGCCGGATCCCACGCACTACTCCGGGTGGAAGCGGGTGAAGAAGATGAGCCAGATGTTCTGGGACGCCGCTGGGAGCGAAATTCATCCTAGGTCCCCCAGGATCGTGCCCTTTCTCACCCCTTTTTTGGGAGGGGTTCCCTACTAAAATAGACTGCAGAAAAAAGGGTACCTTTGTTCTATGCTCTCTACTGGAGGACCTGCCTTTTGGGCCATGGTTTTAGTGAGGGTTACTGCAAAGGCTTTTCCGAAACGGCCTCGTGACATCAGATGCGCGTTGGCTTGCTATGACCATCGGGTCGTTTCTCGTCCACAGACCTTGGCAATGATTGCCAGGTGCCCGAGACTCACCTCAGGTCCTCAAGAAAAACAGCACCCAGACGGGTGCAGCATGGGGCTTGGGGCCACAGAACACAGAAGGCTTTGGGCCCCTGGTTTTCTTGGACTTGGGGTGCCAGACCCCTCTGGCAAAAAAGGTCACAGGAGGAATCTCGCCAGCGAATCGAAGCGGATTCTGCGCTCTGTTTTGGCTTCAAGGTTTCAATATTCTAGGATCCCTAAAGCCAAACATGACAGTCGGTTGGCGAAGAGCTGGGGTTTGGCAGGCACCAAGCTACTAGTCGAGTACGAGCCAAGATCTAAATAGCCTTCCTTGAACTCACAACCCAATGCCGCAGACCAACAGGCAAATCAAGACCTGCCAGGTTGCTTGCCGGACACCCAGAAAGCTGTTGATGCAAGTGTTTCTAGTTCATGCCAGGATAAAACCAAACATCCAAACACGTTTCTAGCCTTGTTAGACCCGCTTCAAAACAGCCGTGCAACCATGCAACCTGACATGCTGCCATGCTTGAGCTCTTCAAAATTACTCCCTGGAAACAAGAAGCTTGTCCATGAAATTCCGCTTTGGTCCTCTTAAGCATCACGCCTTGGGCCAATTGAGTGCGAGTTTCCTGCTCGTGGGCTGATGTTCTACGGGGAATACGGGGGGAACCCTAAACCTAGGATCTCAAAGGCCGCTGGCCGCTGGCCGCTGGCCTTTGCCCGCAAAGCAAGCGAACTCATGCAGCAGGGCTCCTGAAAAGAATTTCATGTTGCAACAATTTGAAACATGTTGCTTGTTCAACACCAAAATAAAGAAATGGACACCACCCCATTTACAAGTTGCAATGGTCAGGTGTTTTTCATGTGAGGCTCCCTGCTCAGGCATTCGCAGGCTCCCCCAGCCTCCCCATCTTTCGGGATTTCGAAATCCTTCCCCGTGCAATCATGCGTTCCCTGGGGTACAAAGCGACAAGCAAATCATGTATGGGAATGGGTGTGTGTGTGTGTGTGTGTTGTGCTTTGAGGGTAGGCTGTGGGTTTTGGACGTAAAGGGAAAAGGAGAGTCACCATTTGGGGTCCGCCGACTTTGGCACAGGCAGGACCAGTAGAGCCTGGCTTTCCAATCGGCAGATGGGGCGGTGATCACGGATGCTGCTAAGGAGACGCTGTTCTTGCTGACAAACGCCAAGAGCGTTGAGATGCAAGAAGCCGTTCTGAGGACGTCCGTTTTTTCCGCGGCGTTGGAGGAATTGTTGAATGTTGGCGTTTGAAGAAACGGCGAGGTACTCAGTGGCACCCTCAGAATTAGTGGTTTGGATTGGGTGGGAAGTGGGGGATTGAATCGAAATGGGAAGCACCCCGAAAAACCTCTAAACCACTACTCCAGTTGCTCACTTCCCGGCCTGCCTGCCAGTTGCATATGCGTGGGCCATGTTGGGTGTGTGCAGAGTCTGCCACAAACATTTGAGGCCAGAACATGCTCCTGGTTTTGAAGCGCGTTTCGCCAGCGCGTATGCGTCCAAGCTGATGATCAACATGGTGCTTGCGCAGTGCCCTTGTTTCATGCGTGATCAGAGTGACCGAAGCTCCTTGATGTTTGCAGAAGCGCAAGCTCAGACTGACACAGAAAGTTATAGCAACTGAAGCCATGGGAAGGTCGTGGCCGTCAATTTGCCAATTAACCAAAACTGAACCGTGGATCCACACATTCTTGGTGGCTCCCGGCCATCCCCTTAGCCTTTTAGCTTTTTAGTGTTTAGTGGCAATTTCCATTTAACCCGCTAAAAGTTAAACTTTTCGCGGGGGATCCGAAAACGGGCAGCACAGAAATGGGGCGAATCCAGCCTTCGCTTCCGCGTCCTTTGTGTGAGCGCAGGACCTGCAGCTCGGCCAGGGCTTTGTGCTGGCTTTGGGCATTCCCGCAGCTGCAGAAGCGGTACCTGAAGCTCGCTTCGAACATATTCAGCTGCCGAAAATAAGACCTTTTGACCTTTTGGTTTCCCCTTTTTGGTCCATGTTTGGCCACGGCCCCAAATTGTTAACTTTTTTGTCAGGTCCTTTGGGCTAGCGAAACCATGGTTCAGTATTGGTTCTGCCTGTTTTATGGCAAGCTTACCTGAGGGTCAAACAGAGTCACTGTCACTATGATGAAGGTCCAGTCTCTTGAAAGGCAACTGTTTGGTATTCTCCCTTCACCACTTCTCCCAAAGCAGCTAGTTGAATGGAACTGTGTTTAAGGGTTTCGTTGGATTCTAAACAATGCAAGCCAACCGTATCCAACCACAACACCTTTTTGGTTCCGGTATGTGACAGGGTTCCCCCTACTCCCCCACTTTCCCAAATATTTGGGGCATCCGATGTTGCTCAACGTCCCACATGTTTATAACTCCCCGAGCACATAGACGTACGCCGCTGCCCGACCCCCCCCCCCCCCCCCCAGTGGCGTGTCGATTACCAAGCTGCCGTTTCGTTTGCTTTAACCCGCGGCCCAAAACCCGGGCGCTTGATCACAGGCCTGTGGTTTCTGAAACTTGTTGGCTTCAAGCCAATGGTCATTGCCTATGCTGATGCGTCAGTGGCAGATTTAGCAGGGAGTACTCTTGCCTCTCCGAGAGAGAGCCTTTTCTGGTTTATCTGATCCACTGCAGTTGTGCATGCTGGTTTGTTTACGCGATTCGAAGTTCATTCCCAAAGTCATTGCCGAACCCTTCTTCTCTTCCTTCCACCGAGTAACCTTAGAGGTCTAGTCTGAATAGATCTTATGGGGGTCGTGGAGGGGTCGAGGTTCTAAGAAAGCAAACTCCAGGCAATTGACAAAGGCCTCGGCTTTGCGTCGGCCGTCCAAATGCATATGTCCAGAGCCCAGAAAGTCTAAGTACTGCAACTGCATATGGGTTTGGAGTTGCTTCAATTGAGAATGTCGCATCCAGTGAGGTGCTTGGACCCCGACAAACTCCTTCAGAAATGTCAAGACTTCCTGGTTTTCTGCGGGATCAACAACTTTTCCTGGAGATGTATCAGTTTTCCTAGAGAGGCCTGTTTAGTCAGGTACGGATTGGCGGTTCGGGATTTGAACACCTCCACATCAAACCCATGGGGCTCCAAGCCACCAAGTAACCACGTAGAGGGAAGCCGAGTTCATTGCCCTGCCATTAAAAGAAGCTTGACCCAACTTGGATACAACTCCTTAGGTAAATCATGGTGGTTGTATCACTTAGCTAAATAACGGTTCTATCATAACCCCATTTAAGTTTCCATGGCTGGGGAATGGCCATGTCCGATTCCCCCCCCCTTCTCCTCCGCCTCGAGGAAGTGCTGCTGCAGCCTTTGGTCCTCAGCGCCTTCCAAGGCGCAGCAATCCTCCACGCGACTGCTGGGCGCCTGCCTCGGCCGAAACCGCATCGATCGATCGACTACTGTGGATGCACCTGTAGGTAAACCTGGGATGTGACCACGTAAAGGGTGGTTTCCTTTGTGAATGCATCCGGGGGATTCGGGATTCCCCATGGTACTGTAGACGGACGAAATCCGTTCGCACCAATTTGAAACATGGGAAACCATGGCTTGTTGGTATTTACAGGAAAATCATCATGCCAAGGTTGCTTAGGTGGTGCGAAATGGATTTCGTCCATCCACAGTACGATCTTCTTTATGGCTATTGGTTAAACGGGCCAGCCTTGCACCCAGAAAATCGAACCCAGCTGGTAAGGACAGACAAAAATCCGGTCAATGGCTTCCCCAAGTCATAAACCTGCTTGGATATCAGCTTTGTCCCACCTTCTGGACCCTTGAATGGTCCGACTTGCCTTTTGATTTCCCTCAAGGACAGACCTGAAAATTATTTTTCGCGATTTTGTTGGATCTTTGGACTTTAACTTGAGGAAGTGGGTTTTCCATTGGACCCAAAAAGTTGAACTTTCTGAGGGGCAACAGCAACCAAATTTTCTGCCATGGACATTGGAGCCTACGGCCGTACCGGGCACCCTATTTGTAAACGGGAGTTTCCACCACTTTGCATACCAGAAGCCATCTTCACCAGTGAGATTCAGAGATTTCCGAGAAAGGTTGCAAGACACGTGGTTTGGAAGATGGCACCAGTAAAATCAACAGCTTGCGGGGTCCAGTGGCTCCAAAACCACGCAAATCAGGAAATGTTCGACAACTCAGGGGGTCACATTGCACAAGGCGCGCCCTTGCAGCGTTTTGGGCATTGACAAAAAGTGAATCTAAAGGCAGGCTTCCCACAACCACGCCTCCCAAACTGCTCACTGCAGAAGTGGGTGGGAATTTATGAATGTGGCCGCAGCCCCGGGCGCATACCTGATGATTGGCATTGTTTAGCTAGAAATTCGGTCATTATCGCCGTGGCACTTTGGGAGATATGGAAGCTGAAGTCGGGTGATTAAATCTCACACCAAAACCTCACAACCTGCGTATGGCAACCTCATTAGGGGATCTGCAACCTCACCCTTGATCGATATGTTCATAACGATCTCTCATTTTACCTCGGTGAAATGCTTCCCTGCAGGCTAACACGAAACCCCACCGATGAACAGTGTGGTGGAATACTCTGCGGGGAAGTATGAACATTTACCTGGCAACATAGGCAGCTTCATGCAAGTCAATGGCACAAATTTCCTATTTCGGTTTGTCATCCACTTTACCCACATGAAGGGAATTGTGCCATCTATTGTTTCATGGCCATTTCCCATTTTGGGGTTGTTGTTCAAGTACTCCCCTACAAATGTAGTGGGCCCCCACTTTGGGGGCCAAAAGCACTCTACTTTTTTTTTGGGGTGTGTGTTTTTCGTTGTTTTTTTCTTTCAGGGGTTGCACTTTCATCTGTGGATGAAGAAGCATGTTGTAGCCTGGAACCTCAGGCTTCCTCTTCCTCCGCAACGCTGCCGCAATGGCAACCTTGAGGAAGGGCCACTTGGGCGGCGAATTCGCGCTCATTTTTTTGGGAATGCGGTGCTTCTGGGTTTATGTTGGATTTATGTAGAATTTATGTTGGGTTTATGTTGGATTTATGCTTTTGGGTTTATGTTTATTTGTAGAATTTAGAACCCCTGGGTTCATGTTGGTAGCTACTCCGGTTGCTTGACCCCTGACGAGATCCCATCCAGTGATAAATCAGGGAGTCTTCCTCCGCAATAAAGACGGAAGGGCATATAGGCATATTATCTAGGGTCGCCACAGTAGATGGGTTGGTTGTTTTGTTGTTTGGTCAATGCCAAGACCGGGCAAGCAACTCATGCGGGGCTGACCTGCAGGTGCTGGTAGAGACGGCGGACAAGCGTAGATTGCCTTGGCTCGATGTTGGACACTAAGATATCGCATGTTGTAGAATATCTTGTATACCAATCCTCCACTTCTCATACGTCATCCAACTTCACAACTGTTTCTGGTGTGGCTCCGTTTTGGAGCGTGCTCGACCCAGCCAGTCTTTCCCTTGTCCACAAAACCCACACCAGCCCTGCACCAGTTGGGACGAAGGAAGCCCGAGTTGGATACTGGTTTATCATGGTTTGCCGACCACCTGCCCACGGCTAAAACGAGTTTGTCCAGTATAGCTTGGCGGTTTTAGATGTCAACTCCCTGAGCGGATTGATCCTTCCTTTGTCATGGCTGCTCCGTCGATTATGGATGCGATATGCTTCGCTTGCGACCGCCTTGTTTAGGAGCCCCATGTTCCGCACTCTCTCCATGGTTTCTGAAGCAATCTCTGCAAAGGAATTGGGAAAAGCCCTGCCTCCACCCCCAGCAGCCCCTTTGTCTGCCATTTGTCTGCAAGACTAATTCTGGTGGTGATTGGTGGAACGTACCATCACTCGTAACTGGGTAGGGTCCAAAAATTGGCAGCTTCCCTCGGACTCCCCGGATGGCATTTTATGAGGCTTTTGAGCCACCCACGCTGTGCCGGGATGGGCCCAACAAACCAAGTGTTTTCCACTTCCGTTGCGAGCTCTTGCGGGTGAATTTTGTGTTTTTTTTTGCTCCCGGAGAGTGTCTCTTTGGGGTTCCTTCATTTCTCCTTACCGGCAACACGGTATTCTTGTTTCCGGGGGTGGGTCCTGTGTGTTTTGGATACGCAATTCTGGTCAAGCCCAAGAAATGGTTCCCCTGTTCTACCGTCGGTGCAACTCGGGAATCTTGTAAACGAAAGCCAAAGCCGGCCAATCCACGAACTGAGGTTCAGTTGTCCATGATGTTCAGGCTGCAGAGGTCCTGTATCCTTTTTGTTGGCTCGTTTGGAAGACATGTCCTTTCAATTCCAATGAGGTTCAGTAGTCCATTCGGATGCTTAGTGTCCAGAAGTAGCAGAGGCCCTATGTCATTATGCATTATGTGCCCTGTTGGGCCGTCCAAACATCACCTTTTTTAGGGGCCGGCTTGAAAGAGGGTTGAATGGCCTTGAGAGTCACTCAGCCCTTGGTGTGACCGAATCCCCCTGGCTTTTGCATTAAACCTAAAGAGCGCAAGGGTCCAAGTCATTTCTATTAGAATTCCCCTGTAATCATGAGTAAATCCCCACAAGCCCATTCTACACCTCAGTTGTTCAAAGCCGACCTTTTGACCTGTTTGTTTCCCCTTTTTGGTCCAGTTTTGTGACATGGCCCCAAAAGGTGATCACCTTTTTCCAGGTCCTTGGGCTAGTGAGACACGGCATTCCCCTTGAGTCATCCAAAAAAAAAACTCCATGGAGTCCGGCTCTCGAGATCTCGAGATCCGAGGCCTCTCGCTGGAGGCGATCCTCCGCTCGGTGCTGCGGAGCTTTTTGAACTCGGCGAACGCCAACTTCTCCTGGCGCGCCTGCAGTAGCTTTCGCTTCATGGAGAGACTCGCATGGCTTGTGGCACTGTTTTTGCCAGGTTTGCTTGGGCGGATGGGTGGTTGGGTTTGGTTTAGTTTGGTTTAGTTTGGATTATTTTGGCCTGCTTGCTTGCTTGCTTGCTTGCTTGCTTGCTTGCTTGCTTGCTTGCTTGCTTGCTTGCGTGCCTGCCTGCCTGCCTGCCTGCTTGCTTGCTTGCTTGCCTAATTGCCTAATTGCCTACTTGCCTAATTGCCTAAATGCCTAAATGCTTGCTTGCTTGCTTGCTTGCTTGCTTGCTTGCTTGCTTGCTTGCTTGCCTAATTGCCTAATTGCCTAATTGCCTATTTGCCTATTTGCCTATGCTTGCCTGCTTGCCTAATTGCCTAATTGCCTATTTGCCTAATTGCCTAATTGCTTGCTTGCTTGCCTAGTTGCCTCATTGCCTCATTGCATGGTTGATGTTTTTTTTTTTTTTTACTTTAATGTGTATTTTGTATTACCTGGCCAAGATGTTGCTCGCGTGTTTGGTTGTTTGGCACCCCGCACCTGATGATCGCACAAGCTCAGGAACTGCATCCTGGAGCTCTTCGGCATGGACGACCAGGTGGGGTTGCCACAACAAAATTCGTTGCAACCAAGAACCCAAAAACATCAATATCGCAACCAAACTTTGGTGCAGTTTGTTTGGATGTTAGGACTTTAACTTGTTGCCAACTAATGGGTTTTCCATGAAACCACTAAAAGTTCAACTTTTAGCAGGGGAGCAGAAAGCAACCGAGAAAAGTGGCTGCAAAATAGACCCTACGTGTCTATCTTAGTCAGCTGCTGGTGATTTGCTCACTGGCTCAAACGGCATGTTCAAGCCTAAACCAAGGGTTCAAGTCTTTACCATCATCACTTACGCAGCGGGTCAAGCTATAACATAGTCGCATTATTTATTGCCAAGCGTTGGCCCAGTAAGCATGATTTAAAGACAAATCAAAGGACACCAGCATATCTTTTTGGGGCCCACAACTGGTCCACAAAATGTATCAGCATAGGGGGACTCTCTTTGAGATCCACAAATGGTCCGCAAATGGGTATGTGTCAAACTAGGGGCACCCCTCCCCCCACCCCCAAACACAGTAAAAGTAACGGAAAGAAGAGGAGAGCCAATTTTTCTTCGAATCCCTGGGCTCCCCTTACCAGCGCCGAACAAGTGGCACCCGTTTAAAAAGAACAAAACACGACGCCAGGTGGCCTACCGGGTGGGCTACGTCTTCATCCGGCAGCTGGCCCTGGTGCTGCGGAACGTGCTCCTTCAGGGCGCCGAAAAGTCCAAGGAGCGCATCAAATCCCCGCAGCCGGGGTTGCCCTTATGTAGGCAGCCCTCCTTTGGCTGGGGAACCATGGGGAAACCCAAGCATTTTCCCGCAACTTTCCGTTGGTTCAAAGAGAATCCAAGAGGAACCCCACGCAGTTTGAGGGCTGCAGCCTTGGGTGGTTAGGGAACCAAGCCAGGGAGCCACGCGGAAAGATGCGGAAAGCAAGCATTTTCAGGGTTGCTTTGTGGTGTTCCTTTTCGGTTGCGCAAAAAGTGTAATCTCAAACACACGCCGCGTAACCATGCCGGTGGATGCCAACACAGTATTGCAAGAGGGGAGAACAAAGGGACCCCGATTTAGCGTAATTAATTTACCAGGGTTTGGGGGACTTGCAATACTAAGGGCATTCATTCACGTACCTTGCTTTATTGCAGGTAGGTTCTACTTTCCTAATCGCATAAACGTTGTTTGTCATATACCCATGGTGATAGAACCAAAGGTCAATGGGTGTTGGAAGCTGCTTTCTTTAGCAACCTGCTGTCTATCCGAAATCCATGTGGTTGAGGAACAAGAACAACCTGTCACCCACGGATGGTTCCCCACTGTCCACGCCTGGCAGCTGGGATGGATGAACCCTATGACTGAGAGGAACCCATGAACTAGTGCAGGAGTGCGTGCCAGTGGTTTCGTGAGAGCTCTGAATTTCATACATGTATGTATGTACATGTCAATATATATATATAGTTATGACAAGCTGTTATAACCATGCTGGTACGACCAACTGTCGATGCCCAGATGGATTTCAGCAACCTGACCGAAAGAGCACACTCTAAACGGCCCCAAGATATATGGAAGCAGGATGCTGGGCATGTTCACCACATGTCCATGCCAGACTGCTTGCTGGTTGGAAGCCGAGAGGAGTCAAAGGCCAAGCAGCCGAAGGCCAAGGCCAAGGCGAAGGGCAAGAAGGAGAAGGACCGGGGTAAGGAGAAGCCCAAGCCCAAGGTGAAGTCAAAGAAGGACCTGGAAATGCTGATGGGTTACTTGGCGGTATCTGTTCGCACAGAGTTCCCGGACTTTGGACTTGTTGGGGGCCGGTTTAGTGGCAAACAACCACTTTGGACTTTCTTCGCCCATCACTTAGGCAGCGCGTTCTGCTTGAGTTACCTTGTTGGCCACTGTGCCGATGGTCAGATTGCAAGGGCGGCTTGGACGCCAATGCATCTAGGAAGTGAGTTCTGCTTGAGGCCACTGCGCCCTTGGCCAAAATGCAGCTCAATGGTGAATCAATGGTGATACTGTGGATGGACGAAATCCGTTCGCACCACCTTGAAACTATTTACAGGGAATCGAATCATTCCAGGGTTTCTTGGGTGGTGCGTTGCATGGATTTCGCAACCAACCATCCACAGTATGCCATGGGGGGGCCAAAGACCAAAACTCCGACGCCTAGCTCGAGCCATGCGCACCCCAAGGCTGGCAGTTCGTGCGGGCCATGTTCCTCTGGACTCGGCTGGTGGGTCTGAAGCCGCTGAAGGAGCTCGCGTATCCCCTGTGCATGGCGGCCCGGCATTTCCAGCGTGGGCTCTCAAACATCAGAGTTTTTGCCTTTTGACTCAGGATCTGAAAGCAGATGAAGGGACCCAGGTGATTGTCAGGTGCATCCTTTGAGGGACCCTGCAAAATTATGTGTTTTTGTTGGTTTCCCTTGCTCCCTGACTCCCGGCATTTTATGTGTGCTTTTTGGGTCTGGGTGGCAAATCATTGCGTGTTGTGTGTGTGTGTGTGTTTTTTTTAAACCTTTTTTGGGGGGGGAGTTGGGGATCAACTCAAGAAGTGAGGTTACCGTACAGGCCGATTCCCCAAGCATCGCAAGCAGGGAAGCAGCCTTCCCCCCCCCCGGCCCCGCGAAATAACGCGTGACATGCGATGATTGGTGGCTACTTGGCTTGGTTTATATCAGTGGAACATAGCCGGTTTAGGCGGAACAATCTTTTAAGGAAACCCACGAACGGTTTCACCATGTGGCGTGGGGGGAATCAACGCGGGCAACCTTGCAACCCCGCAGAACGGAGCATCCTCGTCGAGTCAACCCGGGAGTCTGCTCGGGCTCACCAAGTTTCCCATGTCCTCTTGCAAGGGGAAACCTGGGTGCGTCTTGTTGGAGGGTACCCTTTTCGGTATGTGTTTATTGAAGGGAAGCCATTTAACTTGAACCTAACTGTGTCTTTGTTGAGGGTACCCTATGTGGTGTGTGTTTATTAAAGGGCCTCCATTGCTTGGGCTTCATGAGACACACCCAGCCAGTTGAACCGGAGGTGATCCTCGGGGCTGTGAAGAGCCGCCTGTCGCTGGACAACGCGCCCTTCGCCTTGCACGGGGTCCGGGCCTTGAACCGCATCGCCGAACACCTGCAGCGCCTCAGCTCGAGCCGGAAGTTCCGGGACGGGGGGGCGAGGGGCGGGTTTTGGTTGGGGTTGGGGTTTGGGTTGGGGTCGGGGGCAGGCAAGTGGTCAAGTGATGGGGCGGCAAGTGCGCCTTGTGCCCGAAAGGGTCCCTTATACCTTTCACCTTTGCAGGAAACCCCGCCTGCAACAATTCACCAGGTTGAATTCGACATGAGCTAAGCGCCTGAAGCATCAGGCAGCTTGTGCCGGTCTCCTCTTTGCTGCTTCGCATGCTGGAGATGACCGAGAAATCCCTGGAGAATGCCGAGAGGGGCGAAGGCCCTCCGGATCTGGACGTGGTCTTGCGGCTGCACAACACCAAGCAGGACACGGCTGGGGGAGGGGCGCTGGATGGCCGTAGGCTGCATGATGTGACCATGGAGGATGGTCGCTCGGCTCTTGGAAGGAACTAAGTTGACTTGGTGGTGTGATCCTCGCATTTCGGGGGACGGACTTGGTCATTTGCTGATTTTGTTTTATGCTTGTTTCCTACGGCTTGGGTAGGGTCTCTTGTATCCACCTGGCCCTTTGTGAACAGCCACAAGAAATTGTAAATGGCATGCGCGCCATATTGTTTTTTCAGATGTCACCAAGCGCCCTGAGATTCAAGGACTCGACCATCCCTGGCAACTCCATGTTGAAAGATGTGGTTGGAGGGAGGCCAAAAGCAACCCTAGCATTTGCAGCACCCCTTGGGGTGCAGATAATTTCCCGTGGTTCCCAAATATCTGAACAGCCAAGTAGCAGCATTCCAGTGGTGAGTTCCGTTGAGGTCAAAGGGAACACCCCCTGTCAAAAAACCAAACTAGCAGGTATTTATGTGCACCCCTAGGGGTGCAAAGAAACGAGCGAGAAATCCTCATTGATTTGCAACCCCTTGGAATCCAGATCAAAGCCACCATGCATCTTGGGTACTTGTAAAGATGTTTTTTTCTTAAAGCGGTCCCATTTAAAGCACCATGGTTTCAACATACATGCCTCGTCTCTCCAGCCATTTCTTTCAGGAGGCCTTGGGGCCCAGTTGAAACATGATTTAGAAGTCCTTTTCTTTTTCCACCCGCTCCTTCCGTGCAAGCCCATGACTTCAAAAGTCGATTTGGGTGCAAACCCATCACAACTTTTGATTGATTCGGGGCAATCCGAACGTGAAAAAAACATAGAAACAAATCAGGGGGTATTACCCTGTGCCGCATGTTTCATATATATTTTTTGTTGGAGGGGGGGTGTTTTTCTTGTCGGAAACTGGGTTGCCTTGAATCTCCCTATCACTTAGGGTATGGGGCATTTTTCTGCTGCATGGTTCCGAGCTCTTATCATGTTGGTTGCTAGTTTTGCCACTGCTTGTTGGTATTCACAGGGGAATCATCATTCCGTTGGATCTCTGAGTTCGGTGGTGCGATTTGTGGATTTCGCGTCACCATGCACAGCATCCCTGTGTTTATTTGCAGGGGGAGGGGTTCTTCTTTTGTTCTTCTCTTTGGGGGTGGTTTTCCTTTGAAGTCTATGACTTGGTATGTTTTGTTTGTGTTGCATATGTTTCCTCCTTCCCAGAACCTGGGGGTGGTTCCCTTCTAATTTGCCTAACAGTATGTGGCATTTTTGTCTGCTGCATGGTTCATATCTCTGTTTTTTGCGGCTGTTCGGTTTGCTTCCTCACGGAAGCATGAAAAATGGATTTCGATTTTGTCACCCTTCACCGTACCCTCTGGATTTTTCGGGCGGGTTTTTGGTTTTGCTTCCTCCTGTTTTTCTTGTTTTTTTGGGGGGGGTTCTTCTCTTTGGGGGTGGTTCCCTTTAATTGAAGCCTATGACTTGGTAGGTCTTTTTTTGGTGCTGCATATGTTGCCTGAGAAATAGATTTCGCACCACCATCTACAGTATCTCTTTTTGTTTCTCGTTGTCTTTTTCTTCTTTTTTGTGGGGGGGTTCTTTTCGGAGATGGTGTTTTTTTTCCCTAGCCCTCGTCCCCCCTTAGCCCTGGTTGGTTGGTTGGTTGGTTGGTTGGCTGGCTGGCTGGCTGGCTGGCTGGCTGGCCGCATCCCCGGCATCACCAACATCACTTGGACCTGGGGTTGCCCAACTCTGATCGGGTGGCAGTTGGGTGTTGCTGGGGGCTGGGTGTTGCTGGGGGCTGGTTGCTGGGAGCGTTGCCCCAAACCACCAAAACTAGACCAGAAATCTATTAACCACACTAAAGCAACTCTAAAGCCGCTGCTAAACCAGCACACCTAACACAAATCAGCTCCAAGCCACCCCAAACCCACTCAAAGTCAACCCTAAACCCGCCCAACAGCAGCCTGGATGTCAGCCCTTCGCTTCGCCTAAATCAACCCCAAACCACCCCAAGACCCACCCTCATGAAGACCTAAGCCAGCCAAAACCCCCCTAACTTAAACCAGCCCCCAACTGCCAATCAGAGTTAGGCAACCCCAGGTCCAAGTGATGTTGGTGATGCCGGGGATGCGGCCAGCCAACCAACCGACCCACCAATCACAGCCAGGGTTAGGAAAAAACAGGGCTAGCAAAAAAAAAACAACACCTCCACAGGTTCTTTTCTTTGGGGGTGGTTCTCCCTTAAAAGCCTATGACTTGGTCTTGTTATTTTTGTCCTTTTTTTTCTGGGTGCTGCATATGTTTCCTCCTTCCCAGAACCTGGGGGTGGTTCCCTTCTAATTTCCCTATCACTTAAGGTATGGTATTTTTTTCGGCTGCCATGGTTTATATTGTGGATGGACGAAATCCATTTCGCGCCACCTAAGAAGCCCTGGGATGATGATCCCTGCAAATACCAACAAACCTTATGGTTTCAACCATGGTTTCAAAGTGGTGCGATCTCGGATTTCGCAACTATCCACAGTATCTCTGGTGTTTTTTTGGGGCTCTTTGGCATCTTTTTGTTGGCGCCACCATCTACAGTATCTCTTCTTGTTTTTTTGTTTTCCTCCGGCGTTGTTTGTTGTTTTTTGTTGCTTCCTCCTATGACTGTTCCCTTCAAAGCCTATGACTGGGTAGTTGGTGTTTTTGTTCCTTTTTCGTCTTCTCCTTTTTTTATCCGGGTGCCGCCGATGTGGTTTTCTTTTTCTCCTTTTCCGAGGAGACCTTGGAGCGCGTGGGCTGCGGCATCTGCGAGGCCTTCGTGGAGCACCTGGGCCTCTGCAGCCGCTGCGTGGCCTTCCCGGAGCTCGCGGCGCCCGTGGTGCTCCACCTCAGGAGGCGATCGGGCGCCCATCGGGCGGGGAGAGGGAAGCCAAGGGCGGTTTTGGGGGGGGGGATGGGGGGGGTGTTGGTCCCGTTTGCTTCCCTTGTTGTTTGGGTTGTGTTCATGAAACTCTTTTTTTGGGTGGGGGGGAGGTGTCCCTTGGTTTTTGTGTGTGTTTTGTTTGGTGTTGTTTTGATTTTTTTTGTTTTGTTTTTTGTTGTTGTTGTGTTTTTTTGGGGGGGAGGTAAGGAGACACCCCAGGTGGGTCTGTTACTCACTTGCCCAAGGGCTTCCTTCTTTGGCCCATTTTGAGTCATGACCTCAAAAGGTTAACCGCTGATTTCTGGGGGGAACTGAGGCTAGGGTTTACTTCAAATACTGCAAGTTGCATGCATGGCATCCTCCAAGTTTTAGTTTGAGAGGGGCGTGGAAAGTAGACAGGAAACCGAGTTTTTTCAGATGTGCTCACCTGAGTATCGGATTTTGGCCAAGTAAAAAGGTGAATGGAGGCGTGGTAAACCTACGACCAAGTGAGTGGCTTCCTTTGGTTGTCCGTGGGTTGCTATTTACCCTCCGGTCCAGTATCATGGAACCTGACTGAGCTGTCCTGAAAGACCCGTTTTCCTTTCAAGGGGACCCTCTGGTGGGTTCCTAAAACAGGACCCCTCAGTCAGGTTTCACGCTAATTATATAGTGAGCCGGAGGGTACTACGAGACATGGATCAACACAAGAAGTTGCGATCTTCGCCATACAGTATGAAACATATCTGTATATGACGTATATGAAGCGCCTTGAGAGGACCCCTTTTGCGCCTAAAGCGAAGCGGCCACTGGTTTGACGGGAGGCATAGCAAGCACTGCCGCTCCGAGCCGCTACGGAAGCAGCTCAAAGCGCTGGTGGCAGCCATTGAGGACCAAGCAGAAGCGTCCTGTCCCGATTTTGCCGCGGGGTGCTCTGCAAAAGGCTGCCACGTTTGGCCCCAACTTTTTGATGATTCCTCGTTTCTAGATTGCACTGGTTGGTCGCCTGGTTGGTTGGTTGGTTGGTTGGTTGGTTGGTTCGTTCGTTTGTTCGTTCGTTGGTTCGTTGGTGAATTCGTTGGCTGGCTGGCTGGCGGGCTGGCTGGCTGGCTGGCTGGTTTGTTGAGGATGTCGATTGTTTTCGTTGCGGTTCCATGCGAATTTGCAGACTTGGACCCACTGCCCGACCTTCGGCCTCGACGTTGAACGGGTCAAGTCAGCCAGTCATTCAGATGTCAGACGCTGGCAAACGCCCGAAGATTTTTTTTGGTTTTCGGCCAATGTTCCAGCTTTCCATTGGCAGAAAGCAACAACCACTGTTTTGTACTACTGGAACCTGCCCCTGGCCTAGCCTTAGGTCAGTTGCTTGAATCCATTTAGTTTGGTGTCATGTACTACTGCCCTCTCTTCTCCACACCTACTCTGGACGAAATCCAGTTCGTACCAGTTGGGATGGATGAAGCCCTATAGCCACCAATCCCAACTGGTGCCTGGCGGGGATTTAGGATTTCGTCCATCCACAGAACTCATGTTGGTTGAGGGTATGATTTTTGAGGTTACCAGGTTGGTTTGAAAGGAAGCTCCATCCACCGCACGTTTTGAGGTTGCCTGGTTTGAGAGGAAGCCGAAGGAAAGCCCAATTGGTTGGGATTCCCATTGGAGACAGGAGAGCAGCCAGACGGTGCAGCGCTTCCGTGAGCAGCTCACGGACGGGGTTTTGATGAGCGAAAGTGATCTTTTTTTTTGGGATGGGGCCGGCCTCTGGCGATTTGTTCGTTCGCTCAGCGGTTCGCCACCCGAGCATTGTAGATGTTTGGAGTTTAGAGAGGTTTATCTAGCTTGTTCGAAGTTCCAAGCATAATCCCTAAAGATTGGCAGATTGCGGATTACGCTGTTTGCGGATTGGACTCTGCACTTTACTCATTACCGATTATGGTGTGCATGGTTTTGAAGGAACCAGCGCAAGCAGCGCGGATTGCGGATCAACAAGATTGCCAACTAGAAAAAGGATTGAGCGGATTCGGATTGTGGTGAGGCCCCAGTAGACCCCTTGAATGCCATGCTTTGGAGGCGCAAGCAAGGAAGCTGTCAGCGTTTCTACATGTGGTCTGTCTTTTTGAAGGTACCCCTTTATTCTGATTTCAAGGAGAAACCAAAAGGATTAATTCTGTTCACTTGGCTTTTTAAAATTGTTTCCTTTGCCAAGCTTATGAAGAAGATAATTAGAGAATGAATAAGAAAGAGATGTAACCCAGCCCCAATTCAGAGGTAAAAGAAGGCTGGTATGCAGTCATTAATTCCCAATCCCTTATCATTTTATCGGTATTTGTCCTCTCGGTAATTCTTGAATGAATTTGTATTTCCTTTCCATTCTTAGTACTGTCTCTTCTGCCTTTGGGATTTCCTCTACACAGCTTTTACCCTTTCAATGCGCCCATGGGTGTTTCTTCCCCAATTCCAGTCAACAGCCTAAGTCAGACGGTGGATGCCCCAAAAAGGTTTACTGTACTTTGCATGACTTCTGAGTGGGTTTGGTTTGTCCAACGCATCCATGTTGCTCGGAGGAGCCCCCTGCGAACGGGCAGCTGTGCGCTTTGGGCGCCGAGGCCGTTGGTTGCAAGCCCGGGTCTTTAGTTTTAAGGCGGTGAGACCTTGGGGAAACCACGGGCTGTTCTATACCTGCAGCAAAAAAAGGCGGAGTGGTTTTTCAGTTTAAATGGTGGTGGACTGGGGATGTTTGACACCGCAAAATTTGCGTCCTTGACCAACATGATGGTGGTCGAAAGAATGTGCTTGAACCTCCATTTGTTGGCTCTGTTGCCCAGTAGTGCCCATTTTTTCAATTTTTTGGGTAAGGGTTCCCTTTGAAACTCGACCAACAAAAAACGGATACCTTCTTTTCCCATGGAAATCCACTGGGCATCTGAGCCTACGAGAGCAAGCCATGGCTATGGCTGCCAGTCGACTCGCCAGGCCACGGCCTTGGCGAAGCAGCGCCAGCAGCTGCTGCAGAAGCGGCAGGACAAGGAGAAGACCAACGTGGAGGCCACCGGGGCCACCAGCGTTTGGGGGCGGAGGGCGTTTGGGGGTTGAGAGAAAATTTGGCATGGGAAGCTGGTAGAAGGTAGAAGGTAGGCGATGGAATGAATCCATGGTGGGTTTTTTGTGGATTGGAGTACTTTTTTTTGTTTCGCCCCTTGGGTTTCCTAGACCTAGACCTTGAGCCCCAACAGGGTATCCTGAAAATAGACGTTCCGTGATCCCAAGAGGACCCTTCAAGTGATAAACTAGACACGAGGATGAACATCCCACTGTATCAGAGGCAAAAATCCACCAGTGGTTGCAAAAATGGTGGAACAATCCACAGGGTTGGTTGCAAAAATGGCGGAAAAATCCACCCGTCCCCGCCTTGCCGGGCTTCACCTTTTTCCCGGGGTCTAAGTCTGGCCCTACGGTTCAAGCCCCGCCTTTGGGACCCTCGCCGGCGTGTCACCCTCGATGTTCGATCCGCAGATTCGCAGTCAGGACCCAACAAAAATCACTCAAAAAGGGCTCCTTAAAAGAAATTCATGTTGGCAACCATTTGAAACATGTGGCTTTTTCAACAAAAGAAAGGGAAACACCACCATTTACGAGTTGCAATGTCGGGTGTTTCTCATGTAAGGATCCCTGCAAAGGTGTGAACGTTTGACCGGCTCGAAGCTTTGATTTCAGATGCCCAGTTGAAGAAAAAGGACCTGACTGAGTGAGCAATGCATCAACATGACTTTCACATCCGTGCGTTGATTCATTCGACAGAACGAGGTTTCCCAGGGCCTTCGAACCTGGGACGTTTTTTCTTTGCGTTAGTATCCACCTTTTGGGCCCACTTTATGCGAAATAAATATACGAATTCCTAAACCCGCCCCACCCATGGCGGTTTTCCAACAAATCGGGACCCCCAAATGGTTGGTTCCCTGTTTGGATTCCCTTTCACAAGGAGGTCTCAGCTTTTGGAGATCCGTTTCCTCGCCCAGGCTGAGCTTTCGGGAGCTCCGCCGCCGAAGAAGCGGAAACGAGAGAAGCAGTGAGCTGATGTCGACGAGTGGCTGCGAGGAGAAAGGGACGGCGCGCGAATGTCTTGGGTTGAGGGTTGGGGCTGAATGAAATCAAATGAAATCAGGCGAAATGCAATCATGCTGGTGTTGTGAGCCAGTTGACTTACCCGCAACCGGGAGTTGTGCCAACCTTCACCCCGGTGCGAGAAAGGCAGGGGGTTTTTCCAACAAAAACAGTCGGGGGTTAAAGTACGAAGTGAAAAATCTTTCTCGCTTGGAGTAAGCAAAAAGGCTCGTACCCAGGAAGCCCAAACTTGGTTCCTAGCTATCCCCTTGTCCTTTGTAGCGTTTTACAGTTTAGAGGGAAAACCGAATTAGATCATGACCATTAGAGAATTGTGTGTGTGATTTGTTTGCCCATTCCATTTTTGGTTTATTGGGACAAGCTTCATCTTCCCGCATGTTTCGTGTCTGTATTTTCAGTAGCTGGGGTGGGTTAACGCGCCTCATGCCAGTTTGTGCCACTGAACCACTGCTGTTGAAGAACGTCCGCCATTGCTTCTTCAAATGAGTATGAATTACAATGTTTTGGGGAGGGCAGTGGCTTAGGATGCCCTTCATGACAGCGTTGTGCGAAGTGCACAACCACGTCACGGGCAACAAGGGAGCTGAGACAAAGAATGCAAGGCACAGGACAGCTCAACGGGCCGGAAGAGACGAATGCCCAAAAAGTGGAACATGCAAGACCATATAAGCCCCTTTCCAACAGTGGAAGTTGCTTCAAGGGAGGCCGTTTAAACGGCGGCTGTTTCAAGCGATAGTGGTTCAAAAAGCATTGAACAGTTGGTTGGCACCACCCTCCTTGCACTTCCAAGAGGTCGCGGTGAGTTTGGGGGAAACACTGAGTTGGCCCCCAAGCCAAGGGTTTTTAGAACCCCTCAGAGTCTCCATGACCCTAAAAAATGTCTACCCTAAATAAGAGGTCCTGGCCCCAAGCTAGGCATGTTAGGGTCATGAAGACTCCAGGCTTTGTGAGTGGATTTGAAGGTGCAGCCCCTTAGAGCTTCATATCGAAGAGGGTTCTGAGAGCCGATCCTGGCTAAGGGGTGAGATGGACTCTCAGGAACTATGCAGCAATTACCAATCCTGGCGGGGGGGCCGGGGCTCTGTGGCCCGTTTAGCCCTCGGAATTTTGGGGGCTCTGAGGCAGCTGGCCCTGGCGGAATGCGGCGGAGACCTTCTTTGTAGCGCGCTCTTTGTCGAGGCAAGCTGTTCTTCCGGGCGGAGGTGGAGCGTCTCAATGAAAACCCAGATGGGGGAGTTTCTTGTTGAGGGTACTCCTTTTTGGTAGGTTTTAAAGGGAAACCGCAAGGAACACCACTTTTTTTGTTGGTATCAGTCAGTGTTTCTCAAAATGGGCTTCGGATTGACAGGCAAGCCAGAAAAGGACACTTTTTAGGGACCGCGATTCCGAGAAATTCCCAGTTGTTCAGTGGCACCTTCTCTAAATTCCTTTTCGCCTGGCGGAGTCCCTCAACCAAAATGGTCGTCCCCAAACAAGGGCTCCCCTTGGCTCTAGGGGTCACTGAGCAACTGCGGGAAGGCGGAGGGGGCTTCACACGCAGCTGCCAGATGCAGGCTCAAGGTTGCAGGGTGAGGCTGCGTCATTGGGGTGGAGTGTTCCTTCGGCACCCCCTGTTCGCCAGCCGCGACGCTCGAGGCGTTCTCTTGACGGCGAGGGTGTGTTGCCCATCAGACGCGGGGTCGTGCATCATTTGGGCTCATGCGCGCAGAAAACGGCACAGCAACCGTTGGTAACCTCAGACTGCCAGCACATTGTCCAGCCTGTCTCGTGGATGCTTCTGTGAGGGCCGCTTTCGTGAGGGAAATCATCAGGCCTTTTCTGCATCCATTCATTCTGAGAAAAAAAACGCGCCTCGCCTAACCTGCAAGCCTGCGACTATCCTCGCATACAGATTCTCAGGTCTTTCTTGGTCGCCACTGTTTTGTATGTTTGCAGGCCTCCGTGCAGTCGCAATGTTCGCCGTCAGCAACTCAAGCAATTATACGCTTCTTTTGACACCCTTGAAGCCCAGTATGGACAGTTACTCGAAGAGCACATCGGAGCAGAACAACTTCAATGCGTTCTGGGATGTATCGGTCTTTGCCTGAGGTGGGGAGCCAAGCGCAACAAGATCGGGACATTCTTTGTGGTGCCGGCAGCAGGCCAGAAGGATGAGTTCTACAAACAACATGTGGAGGGTACACAGCTTGACTTCAGTGTTGATCCTTTCAGTTTGTCAGTGATGGTTCCTGACGACTTCGATCGCCTGTTGAGTCTTGCAAATCATGACGGGGGCTTTTTGATGAGGCAGGACGGCTACGTGATGTGTGCAAATCATTCTATGCATTGCCCTCTTCTCCCACCAGAAGCAGCGACCGTGAAGCCGTGTCACGGTGGTTCTGCTCACCATCTTTGCCAACGGTTGACTTTTCAGAACGGTGCCGTTGCCATAAAGCTTTCAGAGGAAACTCGCTGTGTATCTGTGTTTGCTGGGGCAGAGGCAGTTTGCAAGATCCGGTCTCCGTCGCCGGATAATCCGCATCAGGCCTCCAACGCTGCCCTCTCATGGTGGGTTCATTGCCTAGTTTGGATGTGTGCATTGACACTGGTTGTGTCAAGCCCGGGCTTTCATGGCCCAGCACGTGCATTGGCACTGATCATGTGCTTCGGGTTTGCGATTTGGTTTGTTGTCATTACTGTGGAATGTTTGAGGAGTTTGGCTGTTTCAGTCTTTGAAATAAATGCTTACTTTGCTGAATTGGCTGCCTTATCAGTCATGACGTCTCTGAGCCGAATGACCCGTGCCTTCCTTCAAACAATGCAAAACCAAAACAATGCACGGCTGTTCATCGCTTCCAGAATTATGAGCAAAGGTTGGAAAACGCGGCTAGCGTTGTCATGTGCTTGCCTAGCAGCACTCAATTCATATCGCCATGCTTATGACTCATCAGCCGTGTACGCCACGAGCGCTCTGTGCATTCGGCTGACACTGGAGCAAATTTATACAATCTCTGTGAACGGCATACATAGCATGCGGTCGGTCAGTCGAGACATTCGAGCATTCACGACAAGATCGGTGCACAAATCGGCCCGCGTCCGCCTTGAGCACCTTCTGAAGGAGCGAATCGGAGATACACAAACTCCTTGCGTTTTGGCATGTATCGGTCTTTGCCTCAAGTGGGCAGCCAAGCGCGGCAAGACCGGGACATTCTTTGTGGTGCCGGCAGCAGGCCAGAATGATGAGTTCTACAAACAACGATTGGAGGGTACACAGCTTGACTTCAGTGTTGATCCTTTCAGTTTGTCAGTGATGATCCCTGACGACTTCGATCGCCTGTTGAGTCTTGCAAATCATGACGGGGGCTTTTTGATGAGGCAAGACAGCTACGTCATGTGTGCAAAACATTCTATGCATTGCCCTCTTCTCCCACCACAAGCAGCGACCGTGAAGCGGTGTCATGGTGGTTTGGCTAACCATCTTTGCCAACTGTTGACTTTTCAGAACGGTGCCGTTGCCATAAAGCTTTCAGAGGAAGCTCGCTGTGTATCCGTGTTTGCTGGGGGAGAAGTTGTTCTCAAGATCCCGACTGAGCGGTGCCGAGCAAGATGGATTGCATTGATTATTCTAATAGTTCTAGTTTTAGTGTGCAACGTGCTTACGTGTGTTGTCCTCAAGCCGATGCTGCGGCTGGCGTGAATACCTTGCAATTGAATGCGTGCCAGCCCAAACAGCTGCAATGACATGCGCGGGCAAAAAGCAGAAGTTGCTTCATGGCAAGGTGTCCGGACATTACAACAGAGGTGCATTTTGCTTGGATGTTTGGACTTTCACTTTTTGCCAACTAATGGGATTTCCATTAAACCACCAAAAGTTGAACATTTAGCTGGGGAGCAGAAAGCAACCGAGACAAATGGGCCACCATGGGGGTTCACATAGTATCTGAAAAGCTCGGATCCTGTATGGTTCTAGTGCTGCGGCCAACGTAGAGAACACGCGCAAAAACAAACCACGCCGTGTCACCAATTTTGCTGCTCAGTAGCAACGTCACTGTAAGCTTGCCAGGCATGTTATGCCTTTACATGATTCCACACATTTTTCGGGGGAGACGAATGCTAAGTTGATTTGATTTGAGCTTTGGAATCTCTAACGAACGGTAGGGCGTTGGAATTGCAGCGTGGGTCACTACAGCACAAGCGCTTCATGCCAGCAGCTGCGGGAATATGCTAGCGGTTTGCTTGCGACTGATGTTCCCTGACGCTGTTCGCCTAAACGCATGCATTGCATGCCACAGGCGCAATCTGCCTGAAGCCTCAATGTTGGCAAGCGCATCAGCCAATCCATGGAAAGCTGTGAATTGAAGATGCTGATAGCAGACGCAAATGCTGTTAGGCTCCGTTTCATGAATCCCAACTCGCAAGCGCTGTTTGAGAGGCCTGGCTTTGAAATCCAAACGCAGAGGTGCCGGTTGTGGCCAAGATATGCATGGCATAACCAGCTTCAAACATATACCCTCTCACGCGTATAAAAAAGCTGACTAGCGCCCTTGACCCGTTCTCCAATTCAAGGGACCTGTCTGAGGCGTCCTTCACTGTCCAACATCCCATGACCTCAGGGACCCAGCAAAAAAACGCGCCATGAAGGTCCGTTTGGGGATCCCTTTCTTTCATGTTTCGGATCGTCGTGTTTTCCCTACTCTTGATTGGTTTGGGATGTGAGCCGGCTTTTGTGGAGGGTAACTGGGTGACACCCCTCCGTTTCACCACACCTCCGGGCTCAGGAGTTCAACGCGCTCCGTGATGGCATGGAGCACAGCAAGAGCTTCGAGCACCTTGGCCTGAAGGAGCTGGGGGGCTCTTAGCGGCTCTTAACGGCATGGAAGGGAAGAAGGGAAATGGGAGAGGAGGGGCGAGGGAGCAAGGGCGTTTTCTTCATCCCGAGTTTCCGGCCGAAGTACCTTTCAAAAAGTATATATGAAAACATCTCAATATAGCAACGGACAAAATATTTGAAGATCAGTTTTGCAAATCGCAGCAGGTTTGAATCCGAAAGCGTCCGGAAACGTCCGGAAACGTCCGCACAACGGAGAGGTGTTAAAATCAGGGTCTCCTTTTTGGTTTCCTCTAAATTAATATTGCACGGGAGCTACCCTGTTTGGAAGGGGCCGGGTCCCTGAAAAGTGTAAAAACTCTCCAAAGGAGGGCCAACTGGATCTTCTTTAAGATCCGTTTGGTCCCTTTGTTCTTTTGTTTCCGCTACCAGCGTAGCAGCAACCCCATTTGCGACATGCTTGACCTATGTTTTTCAGCGACCTACTGTTAGTTCCCTTAAAAGAAGACCAGAGGCTGGTCGTTGCAACAATGTTTGCCAAGCCCCAGTGGTTATCTCAAACAAAGGCGCGGCTGCTTGTTGAATCAACTTTCGTTGAAGCCCCGTTTGTGAATCCTCACTTGCCCAAAACCAACCTTTTAGTTTTCCCTGCCACCTTCCATTCTACGACCAACATACTGTGGATGGACAAAATCCTGCACCACCCAAGCAACCCTATAATGATTCGATTCCCCTATAAATACCAACAAACCTTATGGTTCCAATCATGGTTTCATTTCGTCACCCACGCTTATCCGACCCTGTCGGAGAGGCAGGCCTACGCCTCCGACCTGCTGATCGCCGCCATGGTTAGCTCAGGCGCCGAAGCAAAGATTCAAAGGCTTCGGTTCCAGAAGAATCTTCAGGAAATGATCCCCAAAGACACGAAAGACGCCGTTTTCCTGCAGAAATTCCTGTAGCAAAAGCCCTTCGAGATATGGGTGTTTCCTGAAAGAGGGGGGAACTGGTTCCCATAGCTATGGGTCAAAAGGAAGAACCACCAGGAGTTTGACAGCAGGTTTGGTCCTTGGCTCTAGTTGCCAGGGTTCCAGTTTGGGTACCAATTTTATGACCCCCAGCCCCATGTTGGCTGGTTTTAGGTGCATTGTCGGGCTGGATTGAAATTCGAGCTGCACGCAAAGTCAACCTTAAACCTACTCAACAACATCCCGGATACCAGCCCTTCAAGCCGAAATGAACCCCAAAGAAACCCAGGACCTGCCCTCAAGATCAGCAAGACGAACACTCAACTGCGATGCGGTTGCCCCCCAACCAAAGCAAGGGTTGCCGAGGCACGTGAGGGGAGGCCTTGTGCTGAGCCGGGGTGAGTAAAAAGCCGGTGCTAGAAGACAAACACATCAAGCGTCTAACAGAGTCCAACAGTCCCACTCACCAGCGAAGTGTTTGCCCACGGGGCAAATAGCCACACAGATAGTTGCTTCTGGACTTTGAACTCGTGGCAAGACCATGTTAGTTGTTAGCAAATAGTTTGAACATGTTTGCCAATCTACTCAAGAAGGGTGGTTTGGGTTTTTGGACGTAGTTGCTGGGTCTATTTGCTCGATCTGTCTAGTTTTTGGATGATACAGGCACCTGATTGCTTCATCACGACCCCAGTTGTTCAGTTTCCCCTTTGTTTTGGTGGGTGTCAAGCTTGGTCAACCCCATGAATTGCCTGTGACGTAGTGGATTTCCATGTTTCGCCCCCTAAAGGGTGATTGGAAACATCAGCTGTTGGACCAATCCAAGTTACTTTCCCTTTGCTGGGGTGATGTTTCACGGCGCAAAGCAAGAGAACTGTGGTGCTGGCGCTCTTGAACATGTGGATGGCCTTGTGTTTCAGTGGGGGGATCCACAACCCTAAACCGAATTGATCAAATGTTGATCCCCTATATTCGAGCAGACTGGACGTGCAAGCATGATGCATTCTACCGGGGTCACTGGACAGCTGGGAAACTCACGGCAAGGGCTGCAAAGTCGTGACGCACTTTGCTTCAAACAAAGTTAGCGGGGGCGGCCTTCTCAATCAGATTGTGATCCTTCTTGGTGTTGACTTGATGTTGCTTGGCGCCGACCGCATTTCAACCATCCCGACCCTGCCAAGTGCCATAGTCTGAACGCGAGGCCTGTGTGGCGCGGCAAGTCAGAAGGCCTCGGCAGCGTGGCAGAGCAGCAGGCCGGGCCATGGAAACCAGCGAAAGGAGGAATCCTGGTGCCCAAGTGCCGGCTTCTCCTCGTGTTTTTTGTTTTCTCCGATTCTTGGGCGAGGTAAGGCTGACCCAAAGCCCTAAGAAAGTTCAGTGGAGGCGCCCTGGGGCCAGATGGGTGTTGAGAGGATCCTCTATCCACCATAATTTGTTATTCTTATTATTGTTCTAAAGTAATAGTTACAGAACCTAGTCTTGATTCTAAACACTGGAGCTCAGAGAGCTCTTTTCAACGGCTTGCTGTGACTTGTTTGAGATGCCATCTCTGGAATGTAGATATCGGCATGCACGACGACCTTTCGAGAACGCTCAGTCGCCATCAGCTCAATAAAGCCAGCGGAGGTTGCTGTCTTGAGTTGCCGGGATCTGAGTTTTGACAGATGGTCACTTTTAGCCCACCTGGTTGGACAAAAATGTCCTCCCCCCACCCCGAAGACACAAAAAGAGAATGGCAGTGGATTGCTCTTGGAGAAATGGGTATGGGTCAAAATTAAACCACCAAAAAAAACGCTGATTTTAGTCTACCTTTCCATGTACAGGGTTCGATTTTGGGCACTTATTTTTGACCCACAGCCAAATGCCAAGCTTGCCCAAAGGCTTCTGCAACCGAACCACTCTTGATCAGGTCCCAGTTTCCTACTGCCAGCCGCGGCATATCGCCGTACCGATGCTCGGAATGACTCAGAGGGCTGGTCCGCAAGCGTCTGTTGTGGCTCGCAACACTGTGAATGACTGGAGGAGGTTTAAGAAAACATGTTTGGGCAAATCATAGCAAATTGAACAAGCTCGCCGATTCGGGGTCGAGAGTCAAATACAGCCCCTCAGCTCCACTTTGATTTTGGCAGGCAACACTGTTATCTAGCACCTCTGAGCAAACCAAATGATTTTCCAAAGCAATTCCTGAGCTTGTTTGTGTGTGTGCTTTGTTTTTGTGAGAAGCTTTGGCTGTCCTCTTTTGAAACCAATTCCACTGGTGCTGAACAGTTCAATGTTGATCATCCCGTGGCATGCAAAAACAATCCGTCGACAACAGTTTCACAGTTTCCCATGTCTTCTTATCGACAAGGCGTAGCTGCGTTGGATGCGTCCCTGACTTTTGGAAGTTGACCCCAAGTGCTAGTTGACTGGGGTTCGTCCTACATGTTGTCCAGGTGAGCCCATGCTAATCAGCCTGCTTTAGACTTAGTTGGCCTTGATTTGTTTTCAGGGGTGGTGGATCTGGGCACATGCTTGTTTGAGGGTACCTTTTCTGGGGTGGGCAGTGAAGGGACACCAACAAGAAAAGCACTGTTGTTTGGGTCCCCCCCATTCTGACAGACACTCATACTGTGGATGGACAAAATCCTGCACCAACTTGAAACTGGGAAATTGTGATTTGGTGGTATTTACGTTGGGGAATCGAATCATTCCAGGGTTTCTTAGGTGGTGCGAATCGGATTTCGCAACCATCCACTGTATCATTGAATGGCCTTCTTTCGACTACAGCAAAAAAGTTGGTACCCTTATTCTAAGCTCTCTACTGGAGGACCTAGCAGGCATATCTTTGAATGCCCTCCTTCGCATAGGCTACTACTCCCAGCTGCCCACAGAGATGATGGCGTCGCATCTGGCCATTTGCCACGGGCTCTTGCGGGCCACCGCGCTGCGGTGCAGCGACCCATGGCCAGACCCGGGGCGGTCCCCAGTGGCTCACTTCCTGAGTTCATGAACTTGAAGCTTTTGGGGAAGACCATTTTAGACTTTTAGTGGCAAATATAAAGTTTGGACTTTTTTGGGGCCATCCACTCAAGTGAACCAGTTCAGCTGAAAGCTTGGAGGTTGCTCAAGAGGGCTCTCAGATTGGTCTGAGCAGCTTTCAGGGAGCGGCTTCGTTCCGGGGCTGTTGGGGATACGCTGGCTTATGTTTCTTGTTTCTTTACGCAAAGAATCCCAAAGAGGTTCAGCGTGGGTGGTTTGCATTAGTTTGGGGTTGGTTACTTGCTGACTTCCGCGACTCTTTTGCTGGAAGACCATTTTTAGTGGCAAACAGTTTGGTTACTTTTTGAGACCACCGGTTGCTTTTTGATCCCCGTGGTTTGGACGGGCTTGGGGAGTTTGAACCACTGGTTTATGGTTGGCGTTGGGAACCATTTTGCATTCTTGCTTATTGTCTTACCTCTTAAAACTCCCCTTCCATGGCCTTCTTGCTGACACCCCTGCTTGGTGGGGGCGGGGAGGGTGTCCCGCGCGGAGCCCGCACGCTCAGCCCGAGGCGCAGCTGGAGCTCTTGGTCTCGCGGCAGAAGGCCTCCGCGCAGTGGCCGCCGCGGCTGGCGCGGCACCGGGGCCCACAGCAGGCGCTCGGAAAACCTGATGGGCGGTCGGTTTTTTTTTGATTGGATGGGGTGTGGGTGTGTCTTTTTTTCGAGGTTGGACCCCCCCCAAAACGTTTCCCTTTAAAGCCACACAAGCAAATGGGGGCTATCAACACAAGACACACCCATTTGGAGGGAAATCTGGGTCTGGCAAGTTTCTGGACTTACCTCCCAAGTTTCCTTTTTTGGCGAGTGTCATGTCCAACTTCTGAGAACACCGGTTTAGGATGAGAACATGGTTAACTACTATTGCGACGACCTCCTGGTCTGCCTGGGTGGGGATCAAAACCACGGCGTGGTTTTTACACAAATGTTGCCCAGCGGTTCTTCGTCCTCTCACAAGCCTTGGCACTGGTGAAAGGAAGACGGATTTAGCCGCGGACCTCATTTATTTTTAAATTATTTGCAACTGACCCCAAAGAACACGCTAGGTGCCAAGTGATCCTTCTTTGTGTGGGTAGCCCTTTGTTCACATGTGCATGTCAAAAGGAATGCCGTTGCAGCTCTGAGCAGTCTGGCCAGGCTGAAATCAGCCATGAAGAATTAATGGGAAAAGCCCAGCCTTGCATTCAACTGAGCCCTGAGAGGTTCCACACCCTCAATCTTTTGTTTTTTCTTTTTTCGCTCGCAATCGAAGCTCGAGCCGCTTCCGAGCCGCGCTTGCCAGCGCATGCGAGGCCGCCCACACCAACTTTGCCACCAACGACGCCATCATGGCCACGCACCTCGCGGGCTCCGGCGGTTTGGAGCGCCGATCCACGGCCAGCCGTGTCTCCGTGTGCGCCGGGGAGTCTGCGGAGAGCACCGAGCCATGGGCCAAAACCAGCGGTGGGACTTCCTTGGGATTTGTTTTGTTTGACGCTTGTTTCGTTTGGTGGCTCTTTAAAGGCAATCCTGAATCCTTGGGTTACGCAGGATCTTCCCTTTGTGGTGTCCGACAGGCATTGTGGATTGGGATTGGTCATCAAAGCTAGGATCTTTTTGAGATGATTGATTTTATTGCTTAATGAATCTGAACATTGGCATGTTTGTTGGTGTACCCCGGGGATAGGGCGGGGGGGTGGGGAGGCGGGGGAGGAGGGGGGGGGCGGGGGAGGGGGGCCAGGACAGGGTGCCATCACGATGCACTCAGTTACTTGAAAGTGTTGTGGTTTCCCTGTTTGGCCCATGTTTAGTCAGTTTGGCATAGAACGGGAGCCAGAAGATGGCAGGTTGCCTGGTAAGCAGTGTGTGTGTGTGACCAAAGCATTCGAAAATAGGATATCTCACATGTTTGTAAGCCAATGTAAGCGTTTAGCGTGTCCTAAAATGTGCCCCGCAATGTAAGCTTATAGCATGTCCTAAAATGTGCCCCGAAATAGGGGAGAGGGAATGATTGAAAGAGCTGTGCATGTCATAATGCACGCGTTTGTAAAGACAGCTTGCGGCCATGAAATAGGGGACCCTGAACAGGAACATATTTCTATTTTGGTATTTCTTTCGAAGATGCCAGCCAAAAAAGGCTCCCCCTGGCTACTCACTAGCCTAGGATTTTTGCAGGTACCCATAAATTTTATCCTGAAAAGTCCCTTGACCTGCCGCTTCTCTTGACCCACAGTTACACACGAGCATGGGCAACCGAGCAACCTACTTGATTTAGGATGCGTGTTTTCAGGACGCCTTTTTCTCGTGCCGCAACTGATTTCGGAGGGCAGAAAGTTTAGGCTACGTGCGATGAGTCAACTTGTTTGGTGCGGACCGGTGGTTGCATTATGCTAAAACACTTTCAGACGTGGGGCTGGGGTTAGCTGTTCGTGTGTGTGGCCAAAGCACACTTTTGAGCAGCACCAGCAGTCGGGCGTTTGATGTCCTTGAAGCCCCTCAGTGGCAAGCATCTGAAATCTGGAAATTTCCATGCTCCAAGAAGAAAGGATCCCTGGAAAGAAGTGGGGAGTATATGCACAGCATATAATATTGTGTAAGGCTTATATACTCACCAAGGATGGCAATTGCTCCCTATGTCTCCGCTTCTTGGAATCCCATCGGAGACAATGGGTGCCTTTTTTGAGGGTAGCCTTTTTGGGTAGTTTTAAAAGGAAACCAAAGAGACACTGCCCATTTTGAGGAAACCAAAGAGACACTGCCCATTTTGAGGAAACCAAAGAGACACTGCCCATTTTGAGGAAACCAAAGAGACACTGCCCATTTTGAGGAAACCAAAGGGACACCGCCCATTTTGTAAAACAGAGTCCCTCAAAAAGAGACAAAGGGAGATTCCAAGGAAACCAAAGCAAACCAAAGGTTTCGATCCCTCAAAAGCAGACACCGAATGGTCTTCAAACAGCTTTAACGTTGTTGGCATGTTCTTTTTGTTTTTTTCTGTTTCTGTTCATGTTTTACTTTTTAGTAGGCTGCAAAGACCATGCACAAGCCGGTTTGCTTGCCAAGCCATACCTTAAGGGTCGGACACCGAACGCCAAGGATCGCTTTTTTTCAACCTTGCTGGCATGTGCTTGGTATGGTCTCGCTTTTTGGGGGGGTTGCCTTCTTCTTCTTTTTCATGTTTAGCGCCGGAATTAAAAAGCAAACCAAACATGGTTGGCAAAACATGGTTGCCGACCTAAAAGCATGGTTTGGTTTGCCGAGCATGGTCTGCCAGACACTTGCCAAAAACAAAAAATGGCCAAGCGGCGTTTGGTTTGGTTAACATGGTTGTCGTTGGGATACATTTTACATTTTGCTTATTGTGGTTGAGTGGTTGAAATCCAACCACTTAACTGCTGAAATTTTAATTTTGCTCCCCTTCCAACATCAACCAAGCCCAGGATCGCTTCCTGCAGGGCCTGGTCCGCAGCTGTGTGGAGGACGCCTGCCACGCCATGCTGGCCCGCGGCCAGCTGCTGCACCGCGCGGGCGGCGGGTCGGCGGCCATGCAGGCGCGAAGTGCGGGCGGATGCCGAGGACATGGGGTTCCCAGGTCGCTGAAAAATGAATCACCGTTTTTGTTACATACATATGTATATATATATATATATGCTGTTTTATTATTGTTATGTTTCATTTTCCCAAATTCCCCGGGTGTTTTGTTGGTTTTTCCCCTGCTGGTGAAAAAGGGAATCGATCACACCACAATTGAAACCACCAATTAGGAAGGCGGATCAAATGGGTTTCCCAGGTTCCCATGATGTGGCCGCCACATGAATAAACCCCTTTTCATGAATAGGAGGGGTGTTTCTTGGTTTCGTGGGCCGGGAAATCCGTTCCCTTACGGTTGCTGAAATGAATATGTTTGTATGTCCCCCTGGTGGTTTTAACAGGGATCTGTCACAAGAAGTATTTTTTTCAATGGAAGTTCCAAACAGCTTCTCTAATTGGTGGTTTGGAGCCGAGTCGGTGGTTTGGTGTTGAAATGGAGGGGTACCCTTCTACACCCCACAAGCAGCTTTCTAAAACACTGCACCTGCACAATGAAACAGCACGTCCCGTCTCAAACGCTACACACGATTCACGCACAGGCGCTAAAAGCAGCTTTTTTCCCAGTCATTCCAAGCGCTACTTTGCCAGGTTCCCTGATGGCATGGCGCGCCACATGCGTTTGCGAACGCTTGGGAGCGTCAGACGCACGAGTGTGGGTCACCTCCGGACCTCCAGTCCCCAACCTTTAAATGGGAAACCGTCTCATGCGCATTCGGGAAAAAGGCCATGCCTTTGACACGTAGCACCTGATGGATGCGGCGAATGCCGCATTCAATGTGGCGGGAACAAGTTGTGTGGGGGGCGAGGGGTGGCAAGTTGTGATGGTGTGACTGCCGCGTGAAGGGAAATTGCGCTTGATGTTGGAGGGCACGCCCAAGAAAGCAGAACTTCGAAAGATCGTGCAAATGTTGACACGGTTTTGGGAATCTGTCGGATGGATAGGGGGAGTGCTCCCCCAACCAAAGAAAAGTGGCGGATTTCCGGTGAAATGGTATTTCCCAGATGATCAACTATGGGTAGTGACAATCCTCGGGGCACGTTGCCGTTGGCGCGAAGGCATACATGACATCGCTGCCGCTGTCCAAGAGAGACGGGCACAGCTCGTCTGGCCAATTCGCCATGTTCTGCTCGGAAACTTGGCGTGCATGGGTGTCATTCGGGGCGAAGCCACAGGCCCTCCCGCAGAAAAGTCCTTGGCCTTCTCAGAAAGTGTTCTTCGAAAGGTCCCGAGAACCATTCTGGTGAGTAGGGGCGCAATTGGTTCTTGTCATTTTGCAAGAACCTTACATGCGAAGTGGAATGACCCTGCTTGAATTGCATTTGGAACCGTTTCGATAATCCATGTGGGTGTGTTTTTGGATGTTACCCGCATTCAAGGAATGTGAAGCCAACGGAACACCCACCCGTTTTCCAGGGGCTGCACCATTTTGATTCAAACCCATCTCCCCCTGACACATGCTTTCCAGCAGGCTGAGGCGAAACCGAGGTGTATGCCCTCTAGTGGCTCTACGGTGGCTGCATGTCCCAAACTGCAAGGTTCCGGTGGTTTCGGGGTAGAAGCCATTTCGCAATAGGCCATGGACTCACCCATGAGGACATACTGACCCTCCCAAGCATACGCAGAGGTGTTGGAACGGGGTCCAGAGCCAATCTGGGTGTGCTTTGAAACAGGACCCCACAAATTGTTGCGTTCCTTTTCGTTCCAGACCCAAGTAGAAATTGAAAGCCACCCTCAAAACACACATTTGCGCGCGCATGCGCGCCAACACACAGGCACATGGGAGTCAAACGGCTGTGGGTCAAAACCGATGGTAGCGTTTCACTGTGTGTACGGGAATTTGACCCATGGCCATATGGATTTCCATGGCGTCTCAGGAAATCTTCCAGAACCTTGAGCGGCAGACTGGTGCGGAGGCGGTGCTGGAGTCCTTGGGCGAAGCCTCCGGGGAGTACAAAAGCCTCTCCACCAACTCCAAGTCCGGGGAGCGCCTCGGACACCTCACCTGCAGTGCGCTGCAAAATGTTGGTTGATTTGTTATTTTTTGGAACGGAATCCGGTTGAACCACGCTTCTTAAAATGGAGGGAAACCTTGTTTCTGGAGCGCACACCAACCCGATACTGGGAGAAGAAGGGAGGTGGGTCCAAAATGGATGGGAAGGAACCTGAGGCCTGCTGAAGGGGAGTGCACGGCTGGGCTGTTCCCAGTTTTTGGTCGTTTTGGTTGCGGCAAATAGGAATCCCTTTTGGCTTTGTAAAGCACCCCCGCAATACAACCAGAAGGAACCATTATGAGAACCCGAAGGCTTTCAACTCCCCCTCCCATAGCCCTGTACATTGGACGTCGCGGTTTGTTGGGATCCCAACACCCCCCCATGCCATACTCCCCTTGTGCCCCCAACATAAGACAATCAGGTCCCTTAGTTGGTGGTTTGGTCCTGCACCACCAAACCACCACTTCATACCATCAATTGGAAGCCGAGACAAGAGCTCATTCGGAGCAGATCACGGTGGATCATTCAGGCGCTCGGTGTTGAATGGCACGTTCGTAATCTCAACGATGGCCAATTGGCAGTGTGGCATTTGTGTGTTTGCTTCGGTTTTGATTTGCAAGTTCAACATACACAAGGTACATTATTGTGAATGATGAGGAGCGTGATCATGCTCCAGGCCGATGATAACTGCGTGAAATGTGCAGCTCCGCCGTGCTTGACGCTGCAAGAAAGGAATTCGAAGCATGACTCATTGCCATGTTCTTGTACCTATATATCCTTCAGAAAGGGCAAGGAGGTTTTGTATTGCGCCTTGAAAAGAAAGAGACCGTTTAGAGGTGCTGCGATTTAGTTTCCAGATTCCCCTGCAGCAAGTTCATGCGCAAAATCTGCAGGTGCGTAAGATAAACCCAGCTCTTCATATATTCTCGCACCAGTTGGGATGGATGACACCCTATGAATACCGGAATGAACCCCGTATACCACATGGTGCGGATCGGATGCGTCCCACGCCTTTGTATCAGGTTCTTCTTCCTGTCAAACGACCGGAAGTTCCTCATTAAAACCGTCTCGGAGAGCGAGGGCTTGCTTCTCGTGAGGCTGGGACACGGAAGAAAATCATGAGTGTATCTAGTGCTGCCTTCCAACCATTCTGAACCCAGGGATCCTTCTTTCTAGAAAGCCTCCGGAAACCCAGGGTGACGGATCCGGTTTTCGAAAAGAACCATGGTTGGAAAGAATGGGGAATCAACCCTTAGGATGTAGATCCCGTTCAAGATGAAACTCCCTTCACCATGGGCCAATTGTCTTCCCTGCCCCGAATCGTTGGAGCAACCCTGTTTGGTTCGCCCCAACGTTCGGAACGAGCGTTGGGATCGGATGGCACTCTGCCCCGCGGAAAGAACAACCCTGTTTGGTTACAACGTGTGGCATTGTAGGATGGTTTTTCGTCATTCGGCCGGACATTCTCCCTCCGCCCAGGCATGTCGTGTGGCATTGCATCATCTAATCTTTCTGCTTTGATCACCCCAGGTGTGGTCTTCTTTCCCGTTCCCCTTCCCAGGTTTACCCATGTCTTTTTCCCAAGGCATAAACGCTCTGGGAGTTGTGCTGCGATGGGGTCCCCATTTGAATGAACGAAAAACCAAACCACACGCAAGGCAGCCAAGCATGTGCAGGGCAAACCCCCAAGCGGCTGCCTCCCCCTTTGTGTTTTGGGGTGCTGGCTTGCGGTTTGCCACACCTTGTTTAGTCATGCTTACATCTGCTTAAACAAATATTGTTCGAAGAACATCCTCGTGGTTTGGCCTCAAGCGGGACCAGGATTCTGGGTCAAGTGGAGTCAGGGCAATTCACCCAAGCCCAAGACCCCGTTGAAGGTTGATGTGGTTCCTTTTGCCGGCACTGTTACCCAAACCCCACCTTATGCATTCACCCCCCCCACCCCTCCCACCCCCCCCACCCCACCTCACCACTCCTCTCTGGGCACCTTTCGCTTGGGAGGTGATACGGAAGCCCATGGCCAGTCCCGCCAGGATGCTCCCCGAGTACCAGGACCACATCCACTCGCTGCCGGCTTCGCTGATCGTCCGCTTCGCCGGGCTCTTCTCCGTGGAGCTGCCTGGGCCGAACCAGAGGTACTTCCTCATCATGCGCCCTGGCGCCGAGAAAAATGGAGCCATGTGGCTGTGGCTCAAAATTAAACAGGAGGGGCAAACCGCAGGCTTTGGTCCATGTTTCCACTTACCAGGGTTCCATTTTGGTACCGGTTTTTTGAGCAACAGCCATTTGGCTGTGGGTCAAAAATCGGGCAACCCCAAAATGGCTTGCCCACCCATACCCAGTTACCATACATTCTACTCCTGCAGGGCTCCTGAGAAGAAATTAATTTTGCAACCATTTGAAACAGGTTGCTTGTTCAACACCAAAATCACGGGAAACCACCATCTGCAAGGCAATGTTCAAGATTACTCACATAGATGCCCTAAAGCCATGAAGCAACATTGCCCGTCTATGTGTCCTTTTTTGGGGGGACCCCCTTTTTGCTTCAATTTGCCGAGATGAGGGTGTTGTTGATTTTTCTTGTTGGCTTTAAAGAGAATCTATCACTACTGGAAGTGTGCTTTCTGTTTTCCAGGGGCTTAAGCAAATGGAGGCGCAGCCATTGAATCATTGTGCTTCTGTGGATTCCACCCTTATCTTTTGGTTTGGTGAGTTCCTCAGTAAAGATGGTCACCTACGAACAAAAAAAGGGATTCCCCTTTTGCTACCAGGGTCAATGAGCAACCACGATAGACATGTGTGGGTTTTGTTGAGGGTTTGTGCCCTTCCTGCTATGTTTGACCTTTTGGTAGCTAGCGAATCAGTAAATGATTGGGGCTGTACCGCAAATACCTTCAAATATGAAATGGTTGACAACCTCAATAATTATTGCAACTGGACCAACCACAGCCATTCAAGCAAACTTTGGTAAGCTACGCAGGGTTAAACACCTTCGCAAACTGCCCTAAATTACGGGGGTTCATCCGCCGTGACCTTGTTGGGTGTGTGTGCGTGTGTGGAAAACGCGCAGGCATACTTTTTGTTGGACCTTTTGGCGACCTCCTTTAGAATTGGACAATTGAGAGCACCAGGGTCCTAAAATGACCTTCCCATAGATGCGGTTCTTTTTGCAGCTACCCTTTTGTGTACCTGGAAGGTCTTCCTTCGGCGATATGTTTGGTCCGGCCTGTCAGGAAGTCGGTCTTTGACCCGGCCTGTGAGATCCACAGCAACTATGACCTCAAGGGCTCCCTGTACCACCGCAAGAAGAAGGCGGGAAGAGCAGAGCGGCATGCGGGGGAATCCTGTCCAAGAATCACAGCAGTGGGCGAGCGGCTTGCTTTTGCCACTTCTATTGGAAAGCGGGTAGGTTGCCCCAAAACGGGGCCATGGACCCATCCAGCGCCTTCTGCTTCTCCCGCGTAGGACGGCGAGTCCACGGGCAAGGACGAGGACTGGATCGCCGCGCAGCTGCGGCTCTCTGTGCCGGAGGTGCAGCGCCGGGCCATGCTGGAGGCCCACGAGGCCGATGTGCAGCCCCTGGGTTGGAAAGGGCTGGAGCCAAACGCCCCCCCCCCCCCCAGCTCACTTGCCCAAAGCGAATCGACCTTTTGAGCTTTTGGTGTTCCCTTCAAAAGCGGAACTTTAAACCGGTTCCCTTCCAGTTTTTGGTTTTCCCAATTCTGCCGGGTCCACTTGTACTAGTTTGAGGCCAAATGTTTACCTGCCTTTGGGTTTGGGTGAGATAGGGTGTTCTCAGAACATGTGCGGTATTTTGGCGGTTGGCGACGTATGGGACAGAATCTGAAGATGTTTTATTTTTGCTGGACCCCATACTTGGGGCAAGTAACTCCTTCCACCTGGTTCCGGCAAATGAGGCCTTTGGGGAATTAGCAGGGCTTCAGCCTAAATCATACTTCCAAGGTGTTGTTTTGTGTCATAGTAGCTGAACCTCTGCCCCTTGCCACAAGGTGCTTTGGCATTTGGTTTGTCTCACCACAGTGACCCATGACATGTTTCAACCACATTTAGGTTTTCGGGCTTAAACATGCTTTAGCAAACCACCATTCATTAGCCACCTTGACTTAGTATGTGACCCATTGCCATGCCGCTTTTTGATTCCATGGCCCAGAAAGCCGAGGTTTCTGAAGAGCCACTCAGTGATGGACTACTCCGTGCTAGTGGGTGCCTTGTCCAGAGCATCATCCGAGGTCGGGAAGGGGCGTGAGCATACTCTTGCTTGGCCTCTCGTAAATCAGTCCTGTGTTTGTAGGATTTTGTAGGCAGATGGTAGCGGTTTTCCTTTATGCCTTTTGTAGTGGTGCCGCATTTTAGGTTCTGGGTTGAATTGGGGACCCGCATTTTTGAGCAACCCAGCTCTTGCATGCTCTTGCTATTTGTTGCTTCAAAATGCCTTGGACCAGACCAATTGAGCAGCACGCTATTGCTTGAAATTGAGACGAGAGTCGAAATCTGATAAGGCCGCGTGTATGGCATGGGCAGCGTGCCTGCGCAAACATGGCGACAATTTTCATTCAGTTTACTTGCTAAGTGTTTTGCTACTGTTTGTTCATCGGATGGTTCTCGAAATGTCACGAAATATGAAGACCTTTCTCGACAAGCATAGTGCCATGTGCCAAAATTGTCCAGGAAGCTGTTCTTGTGCTGGAATGGGTATTTATGCGGTCTGGCAGTTTTGTTTGGTCCTTCGAAATCATCCAAAGTTGACTTGTTCGCTCCACCATGCGCACCTCAGGAGGCCCCAGAAGCAGTTCACCAAGCGATCATTGTTTTTGGGTGGCTCAGGGTCCTTCCTTGAGAGGTCCTAAGTGGCAGGCGATGAGAGAGATATTTCATACATAATGCAACTCGTGTCCCATGAGTTTTCCTTAGCATTCAAGCTTTCGTCGGCATTCCCAGTCTGAACTAATAATTTGCCGCTCTGCCCTTTTGGGTTGCCTTCATTTCCCCTGGATCAGCAGCAAACAGTTCTCTCCGCCCCTGAAGATGCCAAACTTCTTCAGTTCCCACCTTCCTGAGAGACAAGATCTATTTGCAGAAGCCCCAGCAACAGGACCAAGCACAAGCAAGCGGGCAGGTGCCCCTTGGGTTTTGCGTGCCCCTTGTGCTTGTTGCATGCCCAAGTGCCGACTGAGTGCCGAGGCATCCATTACCCAGAGCGCGCCTCTTCAAAAATGCGTCGTGGCTCAATAGGTGTTGGTGCTGATAGGGCAGCTTTTAACGTAGGCCCACCATGGAACTTGGATTGGGGAATCTTCTATGAGGACTTCTTGCCATGAATTTGCATGGTAGCAATCTGGGGGGTATCATGAAACATAGTCTGAAAGCGCAGGATGTAAGTTTTTGCTGCAGCCCACGGTATCCTGGAGTTCGCACTGAGGACACCATCTACTGGCATCGTCTCAGCTGATGGGAAGGACTGCTCTGGATGGTTGATTGAAGGCTGCGCGACTCTCGCCCACTTGCGCATCATGGCTCAAGTTACCCAGTGCCACTTTTGGTGCCTTGACATGTTCAATGAACTTTTGGGCCTGCCAGAATGGATCATTGGGCCTGCCAGAATGGATCATTCCCCTAAAATGATTCTTCCCTAGTGTTTGCAATCCCCTAAGCATGAAACATGGGGCCATCAGGGCCAGTTTGGGACGAAGCAACTAGGAGACCCACAGCGCCTTTTCGCAAGGCCTGTCTTGTGAGGGAAGAGCAAACCAGCTCCCAAGGCCCTGCGGGTTTTTTTCTAGCAGGTTTTGCTGGTACTGAAAAGCTCGTTGTTGCTTTCCTTCAAAGAAGGGTCGTTCTCTTGCCAGGCCCCCAGTGCCCAAACACCTTTGGATAGCAGGAGATCTACTTTGCGGGGGTTTCTATAGCCTCAAAGAAGGCCACACCTTGACCAGACTTCCAAGCAGCCTGTGGCTTGACCGTTCTGGTCCTCCCGGCACAGTCGAGAATTGGCCGGCGGGACCTCAGGAGGTGTATGTTTTTGATCTCCCTCAGGAACGGTGAAAGTTTTTCTTCGGGTGTGTGTGTGTGTGTCTTTTATTGCCAGCCCCAGGTATTATACTCTCAGTGGATACGGATGCCAAAGTTGGCAATCCGTCCTCAGCGTGTTCTTGGATACTCTCACGGGTAATCATGGCAGCTGCTAAAAACCCCAATCAAAATGCGGCCGGAAATCGAATATCCTCTCAGCGGATACCTAGAAGCCCTAAAGGCAGTAGTAAAGATTCTTGTATTACAAAAGATGCTTCATTGCTCCTTCTGATTCTTTTCAAATGCAGGAGGTGTACTTCGTGGGTTTGATCGACTTCCTCATCCACTTCGGCCTCAAGAAGCAAGCGGAGCACCTGCTGCGTGCCGCCCAGGGCCATGGGGACGACACCAGCTGCGTAGATCCCACCGACTATGCGGCGCGCCAGGCCTATGATGGTGTCTGTTCGCCCCATGAACGCCATGGTGGCGGATTTTGGGTGGGGTTTAGGGAAGGAGGGCAGACAAAAAAAAGGCTCCCAAGAGTTTCGTTTGGGGTTTCGGGCGGAAGGAGGCTAGATTAAAAAAAAGGCTCGACTTGCTTATGAGCCACGTGCTTTGGAGAGCTCATGTAAGCCTTGATCACATGCTGCTTCGTGCCTGGGCCGTGGGCTCTTTTCGGCGGGACGGGGGGGGGGGGGTTTTCATTGGCGCGGTGATTGGGCAGCGCAGTGGAAAAGAACGCAGTGGGAAAACCTCAACTTGTTTGGCTTCTTGGAGTGGGCGCCCCACGCCTGAGAAGCGTTCAGCACGAAGTCGCACGGCAAAACACACAAAGCATACAACACGCACACACACAGACAAGCAGAAAACCACACACGCGCACACACACACACAGAGCACTAAATCACAAGAAATCAGGGCACAAAGGCATAAAATACAAGCACAAGCGCACCCAAAGCGCCAAAAAACAACCGCCACAGAAAAATTCACCGAATTCTCCATGCAATGCGCAGGCCAAGTTTTTGCGCTCCAGCGTCTTCCGTGCACCTGTGGCCTTGGAGGACGACTGGGGCACGGCAGGGCGTTTGCGCCTCGATGGCACTTGACCCTCCCGGACTCCCAGTGTTCATTGGGAAAAAGGGGCTCTCTTGTTTGGTAGTTGGTTATGCATCACGGAAAAAGCACCATCCAAAAGCAAAAAGGATCTCTTGGGTAAAGAGGGCACTGTTGTTTGGCTCGATTCAAAAGAAGCGAAACCTCATCCAAAAGGGGAACAACCGGCACTGGAGATCTTGGCCTTCTTACCTTTTGACAAAGTAGTTTAGCATCCTGCCAGCCAAAACAGTTTTACCTTAAACCGTCTCACATGAAGGCTACAGGTTAAGACACTTTAACAAACCGATCTTCTTCCTATCTGACGAACTATCAGCACAAGTTAGCCCTTTTCACCCCAATGACTGTCAAACATTATTTGTCCAAAACATGAAACCAAAAGGGTATGGGTAAATACACTTTCCCAGGCCCTGTTTGGTATATATTTTTGCAATTTAAGGTTTACTGAGTGTGATCAGAGTCAAGCAACGCTGTCACGAAATCCTGCACCACTTTGACACCATGGGAAACCATAACGCTTCTTGGTATTCACGTTGGGGAATCGAAGCATTTCGTTGTGTTTCTTCGTCTGAAAGGTGGTGTGAGACTCGTGGATTTCGCGCCACCATCCGCCGTATGTTTTAACGGGTCTTGGAGGAACCCAAGGCGGGTTAGGAACCCGAGGAGGTGCCATCCGAGGTTCGCAGGGAACCAGCGGAGTTGTTGGGTCAACACCCAGTAATGTTGACCCAGGATTAATAAACCCGTCCCATTATTAGGGCGGTGTTCCCTCCAAAAGTGATGAATCCCCACTAAAAGCGGACACCCCCCCAATCAAAATCAACCAGGGGTTTATGAATCCGGGATTAACATTAACCTTGGTGGCTCCCAGCCATCCGGTTCCTTAGCTTTTTAGATCCTTTTAGTGTTTGGTGGGGATGTTTTCCATTTTAACCCACTCAACGTGAGTCACTTTTCGCGGGGGATCCGAAACCAGCTCCGCCCAGGCGCGTGGAGGTGCTTGGGGCGAGGAATTTGCGGAACGCGGACGTGGTGGGGGCCTCGGACCCCTACGTGCGGGTGAGCGTGGGGCTCCAGCTGCTTGGACTCAAAGGGGGGGGGGGTGGGGGGTTGGAGGCAGTCTGGTTGGAGGTTGGGTGAAGGGGGGGGTGTGGGCTTTAGGGCTTTAGGGCTTTAGGGCTTTAGGGCTTTAGGGCTTTAGGGCTTTGGGGGTGGGAATGGACATTGATGGGGGGTTAGGTGTGGGTAAAGATGAGGATGGCGGCTTCTTTTTGGGAAGCCCGAGGGAAATCAATTGCCTGAAGCGAATCCCAATTTGGATGTGGGGGTTGACGGGGTTGGGCATGCGGTTAGGGGTGCAGGGATGCGGGTTGTGGATTTGCGACGGCGGGCACGGGGGCATTTTTTTAGGAAATGGTTGAGGCTTTTGTTGCAGTGAAAGGGATTGCTTTGTTCGCCTGCCCACCACCAAACGTACTTTTCACTTGACCTAGCAATTGAACGTCAGATCTGAGGCGGGCGCAGACGCCAGCAATCCAGGATGAGCTGAACCCAACGTGGAACTGTTCCCTGACGTTGCCGCTGCGTCTTGGCGCTAAAAGCTTTGTGAAGCCAGGGACTTGCTGAGTGATTCACTTTCGCGCAGAGGTCAAAGAGGGCTCAGTGCATTTGAAAGCTCGGCTGAGGAACAAGCATCACTTCTATGATGAGTTGGAGTTTACCGCAGGGGCCCAAGCGCACATTCCAGCAGCATCCTATGGCACTGAGTGACTGGAGGATCTCTCATGTGCCAGCCTGTTTGAAGGTGGGTCATTTTGCCTCCGGACAAGGGATGGATCCCTTTTGTTATGGTGGCAAAGGGCACCGGGTCACCCAAGCGGAAACCTGCCACTTGGCAAGGCCCTTGAGTCAGTGTGCGCGACAGCCAAGTGGATGGAGAAGCCACTCAGTAGCCTGTGGCACCTCCCACACCCCTTTTGGTTTGCTGGCTTCCCCACTGAAAATGGTCAACCCAAAAAGATAGTTTCGCTTGCTTTTCCACCACAGTCATCGCACCCCATCACTGGGCCCTGGTTTTGTTCGGATTCGGGTTTTTAAATGCCTGTTTTTTGGCAATCTCTACTGCATACACACCTGAACGACAAAAGCAGGTCGATTTCTGCGGCCCCTCTAACTACAAAGCATATATAGTAGCACATATTCCTTGACTCATTTTCTGGAAACAAAGGTCCCTCACAACCACGCCTCGTTTTTGTCGGGTTGCATCTTCATCTCCAAAGATCCCTGAACAAAATAGAACACAAAACTTAACCTTGGCGGCTCTCAGCCACCCCCCTTCGATTTGTTTTTAGCTTTTCAGGGCTTGGTGTGGGAGTTGCCGTTTCGCCCACTAAAAACGTTTGTCACTTTTAGCAGGCGACCGGCCAGGAACAACAAACGGCATCCAACGGCCCAGCTTCCGGCTCCCCCAAAGCGCGCGCCAAGCGCCCAAAGCCGAGCGCCGGAAGGTCTGGGACCTGGACTCCGTGCGGGTGGCCCAGGGCTCGGACGACTACCTGGGGATTTTGAAGGTGCCCATGGCCAAAGTCTGGCACGGGGATCTGGAGCTGAAGCAGAAGCTGGAGGAGAAAACCTGGAGGGGTGGTCTGTTTGTGTGTCTTGTTTTTTCCGGTTTGTTGTTGGTTGGCGTTTTGTTTGCTTGGTTTGTTTTGTTTTTGTTTTTCAAGCACTATTATTTGGGTTTGTTTGGGTCTGTGTCTCCGTTTTTTTTAGTACCCTTTTGTTTAGTGATTTTTTGTTATTGAAGCCAAAAGGAACACCCTCGTGTGGGTGCCTAACCTCAGGGCGTAGAGAGGGATGGTAACCCATGTAACCCATGTGGATCCACTTGGTCACCTAGATGGCTTGGGAGTTGGCATGGCTGACCCCAGGCTTTAAAGGGGATACTAGCTTGGCCAACTCCCAAACCATCGAAGCAACCAAGAAAGTGACGTTTTGGGAGTTCTGGCTAAGCCAATGGTTTGCAGACGGACACCTTCCCCCCGCATTTCGCGGTCCTTCGGAAGTGGACGAAACACAAACCGGGTCAACAAAACTCCCGAGGCATGGAACAAATCGGGACTACGGGGGCTACTTTGTGAACATGGTGTGTGGGAAGTTTAGCCAACACAGCACAAGAAACATGGCTTGGGCTTGGGGAAACGGCGGAGTGGGGAAACCGGGCCCCCGGAATCTGGATGAATTTGGCGATTGCAGGGCCAGTGTAGGGAAACCGGCCCCTGCAAAACTTGTTTTTTGCCGTTACCAGTGGAGCATACCGAAGTAGGGACGGTTGCAGTGCAAGCCTAATTTCCAGCTTCCGTCAGATTTTAGTCGGGGAAATCCAATGGATAGTTTTCAGATCCTCCATTTGTCAAGCACTCGACTTCATCCCCGTATTCCTCCCACACTGAAAGGGCAGGGCACCTGGAAAGTGGTTAGTAACCACGGTTTACACCACTTAGCATACTTATAACCATGGTAAGTGGGTTACAACCATGGCTACTAACCACTTATATACCAAGCAGCCCCTTTAAGCAGGAGACACCCACCGGGGAGCTCCACGTCAAGGCCCGCCTCGACCGCGACCCCGGCCCCTCAGCGGGCTACGCGCCCGCCGGCTCCGCCGGCTACGCGCCGGCGGCGAATGCGCCGGCGCGCGCTGGGGCGGCGCGCTGGGAGTTTGCGGCGCCTCGGCGTTCGGCTGGAAGGGAAATCGCGTGTGGAACCCGTTGAGCCTTCAAAAAGGTCATTCCTTAGTTAGCTTACGATTGTTTGGCATGACGACTCAGTTCTTTTTGGGGTGGGCAAGCTGTCAATTGTTGTTTGGTTAAGCTAGCCTCCGAAGGGATCTAAGATGGCCATGGGTTCAGGTTGTTGGTGTGCGCAATCAGTCTAGGAGGTTTGAGACTGGGACTTCAGTTTGGTGGGTGTCGCTCGCCTGCAAATGAGTCCCAGCCCCCACAAGGATAGACAATTGGGATGTTGTTGCTTTGGTGCATTTTGCTTGGATGTTAGGACTTTAACTTTTTTCCAACTACTGGGTTTTCCATTAAACCACTAAACATTAGTCACTTTTTGCAGGGGAGCAGAAAGCAACCGTGGTTGGTGGATTTTGTTTTCCCTTTGCCAGGGCGGACCTTTCCGGAGCAGCCTCGTTTGGTGCTGAGGCTGAGCAGCGGGTTCTGTTTGGCTCCCGCATGCAAAGGAATCCTTCCATTTGGTGAAAAATATGTGTTTTTTTTCCCTGCTGGTTTTATCGGGAATCTATCACTACTGTTTTTTTTCCCCAGGGGACTTAAGCAAATGGAGCAATCCATATGGGAACTTGTTCAAACGTTCCATGCCCCTCCACTACCTGCTGATCATTGCCTCGGCACATGCTGTCCGGATCAGAAATGGGAGAAGTCGCGGTTGATGAAAAATGGCTGCACGCAGAGATTCGTAACTTGGATGGCAACTCGCAACAAAGATCCTGGTTGTGGCATCCCATCACTCGAGGGACCGAGCCACCTGGACTACTAGGCCCCAGATCGATTAAGACGGGATTGTTTTTTGGAAGTAGGAGTCCTTAGAGTCTGCGGTGGCACATGGTTGGCAAACTGATAGGTGGCAGGTGCGTGTACTCAACCTTGGGCACTGGACCCAGGGGTTGAGGGCCAGCCCGCACCAGCCATAGAAGGGGAGAGAGGGCTATTGATAAATGTCGGTAGCATATAGACGGCATTGGTTTAGATGGGTTGGATTTCCTTTGCCAAGGCCATCTACGTTTCCAAAAGGTCACCTATGGTCGGTAGCCTTCTTTTCTTCAGTCATCCCTTTGTCGGTTACCCATGATTCGAGATTGCTAGCCTGCATGCGCAAGCAACTCCTCAGCGAGCGACTTCAAGCGCTGCGTTTACTTGATCCCTCCAAGGTCAGAAGCTGGGGTTGCAATTCTTCAGCCTACGATCCAGGAGGTGTGTTGTTTACATCCTGGATGGCACTGAATGAAGAATTACCCCCTATCGCGGACCATGTCCTGATCAAACCTTAATGGGTTGGGAATGTCGGGTAATTTCCCTAGGGTGCAACTCCAGAATCCTCCATGAACAAACTGAGTCAAACGCTGAACTCACGCAAATTCCCTTGAACCAATTCATAGAATAACCCCTTGAACCGCCCTGTTATTTTATAGAACAACCCAGAAAAGAACAAGAAAAAACAAGCGGCTTGCGCCATTCGAGGTGCGGCACGGCTTCGAAGGCTTTGACCCACGCTGCCAGCAGACCCTGGAGGAGTGCTATCAGAGATTTCTGGCAGGCGCTTGCGACTTCGGCGCGAGTGCAAGCGGGCCATTTGAGCAACAAAAGCACTTGGAGTCACCGCGACCTTTGGAAAATGGGGTCATTGGCCAAAATAATGGGGTCATGACCCCATTTTTAAAGGGTCATGAAAACTCCAGGTAGTTCTTAGCTCACATAGGCATACAGGCGAACATGGTCCAAAAATATGGCAAATTCCAAAATATGGGGCTAACAAAGGTGGGCTCTGAGCAACTTGCTTGGCCTTGCTTGAGATTATTTGTGTGTGTGTGTGTGTTTGTTTTTTTAATTGTAGCCTTTGCAGGGAAACCCAAAGAGCCTTACCGTTTTCGGGGGTCCCGTGTGGCAGGACACTTTTGAGGGCTTTGCGCACAAACCAACCCCCTTTTCTAGTGGCAATCAAAAAGGACAGGGATGACACTGGAACCCACCCAGGAACTGATGAAATCCGATGCTTGCCTTGCTTGCCAATGAAGGCAGCTGCTATCATCTTTCCTCCTTCGGGAGTTGGACGCCCCCTTCTTGGGCTGCATGCGAATTTGAAGTGTGATACTATACCCGGCGCACAAGTTATCTCAGAAGCTTCCAGGACCGGGGGTTGTCCTCTTGAAAGTGTACCTACCTGACCTGCACCCTGCTTCTCTCCGTGGGGCCACATTGAAACCCAAATGGGTTCCCCTTCAGCGAGTTAAAACCCTGAGTTTGATTCGGGTTCCCTACACAAAATGAAACAAGTCAAGCCATGAGATTGTTCAACGGTCAGGGCCGGCAGGGAGCACCCCTGCACATGGCAATGGCGCTTGACGTAGCGCGGCTTCAAGAGAAGATTGCCCGTCCCATGTACTTATTTTTGTGCGCAGCGCTAGTGTTAGGGCGACCCGCTCCTTGGCGTTCTTTGCTGAATCGCAGGGGTTTGCGCGTTTCTACCTCCGCAGGAGGATTGACAATTGTTTGGAAGGGGAACCTCTTTTCAAATCAATGTGTCAAGTTGTCTTTGGGGACCCCCCTGTGATGGCTCTTTTCAACCAATTTTCCCGTTAAACAGACCAACAAACGTGAGTTCCAACTCAAAAGCACCACCTATCCACTCCCCAACAGAACCCCGCGTGCTTTAAGAAGAAGAAAGAGGAAGAAAGCAGAAGAAGAAGAAGAAGAAGAAGAAGAACTTGACCACGGCAGCGCCCGCCAATCGCCTTTCCGCCCCAGTCGCTCGCTCGCTCGCGCCTCGGAACCTCTGCAGCCTCGGGGCCTCGGAGCCTCGGGGCACCCAGCAGGCGGCGCCAGCGCGGTGCAGGTCACCTCGGGCCGCGCGCAGGTGACGGTGGACTTCCGCGCCATGACCCAGTCACGCGGCAGAGGGATGCGTCCTTGGGAGGTCACCTCGGGGTCACCTCGGGTCCACCTTTTTGGGAAGCTCCATGGCTCCAAATGGCTCCATCTACTTTCCTCTGGCGCATGTTGCCAAGGGATGTTAGGACTTTCACCTTTTGTCAACTAAGGGGGTTTCCGAATTACAACACTGAAAGTGAGTCACTTTTAGCAGGGCTTCGCAGAAAGCAACCGAGGGGTCAGCAGTCAAGGGCCTTGTGGAAGCTGAGCCGGACAGCGGCTGAAAGTTTCGCACAACTCAACCGCATGGATGAGGCCAAACTAAATCCCCCTCAAAAAAACAGAAAGACGGTTTCAATCTGGAAGCTGATTTCAAACCAAGCGAGCCAAACGGGGATGGGCATGGATGGGCGTTTGTTGTATGTTTCCGGACCCCCTGTTTAGCACCCAGCGCCGCTTACACAGAAAAACTGTGAGTCCCTTTAAAGGGAAATTGAAAAGGAGGCTGTTTAAGCACGAGCCCGCGTTCTTCTACATTGGGTGGTGATGAGCGATCAGTTTTTGAAGGACGGCTTGCCCCTGCAATGCGGAGGCGGTTGGTTCAGGACATGAGCGTTCTTTGCTAACTTGGTAGCTGAGTTTGGTGGAGAATGCCCGTCCTGCTTAATTTGCCCAGCAGGAATCAGATGTGTTTTTTCTAGAGCCCCCTCCCATTTTGCACAAATAGAGGATCCCACCAGTTTCAGTGTCCAACAGGACGAGGGCCGGTTTTGCCTGACGGGCTGCTGTTTAAGTGAGATTTCTGATTGAAATGCCCTCCATTTGTGGGTTGCCCTCATATTTGTCATGCATGGAAAATGCGTTTTTGGTTGTGTTAGCTGGGTTTCTGTGTCTGATCAGCCAGGGCATCATGTTTCTTCCGACCACCAGCAGTTTAGGAGAATGAGTCGAAGCTAAGGACCGACGGAGTAATGGCCCTCTGTGAAGCAGCCTTTTGTAGGCACTCCGTCTTAGAGGGTTTTGCCCCACTTTAAGACTTTGCCAATCAGCCAAACTATGGCGGCCTTGGTTGAACATGAGCCGTTTCGAGCTAGTCTTCGCATAACCATGCACGCAACATGCAAACTGTCGGCCCAGATTTGAATGGACTAGTCATCCATGAGTCATCAACCATGGGGGATTGATTGTGGGAGCCATCAACAACTAGTACCTGCATTCTCCATGACCCTTTAATAATGGAATCATGACCCCTGTATTTTGCCGAATGACCCCATTTTCTAAAGGTCATGGAGCTTCCAGGTAGGAATGTATTTGGCCCGGGGGTGCTTACCTTTAAGGTTGGTTGAGTCGGGGGATTTCAACAGCACCGACATCAGGCAGACGGCAGGCGGTCGCACCCGCCCGGTGCACCGAGTTGTCCACTGACAGCGGCGCCTCTTCGCCTGAGACGGGGATCTCTTGCGGCATCTTTGCATCTTTGAGTCTCAGAAACCAGAACCCCAAAATGACGGACCTTGATGGCCATGGAGAGAATCAGAGCGAGAGAGGGAGAGAAGACAAGAGCTAAACATGAACAAAGCATCTCGGGGGCGAACGGCCGAGACGGCAGAGGGCATTTGAGCCACCTACGGCCAAGGTTTGCCCTGGCAACCGCCCGCACGGCTCCAGGGGAGTGTGGTGTACATAGCAAGGCGCCAGCCGCGCGGGCTCCCTGCACGCGTTGCCCGCTCGAACAGGGAGGCAACCAATTGCTCGGGGATCGCCATCCTGTAAGGAAGCCAAGCGCCGGAAAACGATAGTTGGCTCTCGAACTAAGTAGCGAAAGGGCCGTAAGTAAGTAATTTCAACCGTGCTTCGCATGAGTTGGTGGGTGGTTCGCAAAAAGCTGCTTTAGGCGACTAGAGGTGTCACGTTGACTTTGGCCACCAGCCGTCAAGCTTGGAAGGTGCCCACTGCACATGTTTCTTTGGGCAGATCCGGGGCGTTCATGTTGCGTTGATAAGCGGTGACCATGCTGCGCCCCATGTGCAAAGATGATATACACAGACCATGGGAGGCCATTCAGAGGAATTTCCCGAAGAATGAATCAAATCCCCCACTCAAAGTAGGCTCACTCATGAGGAGTATGGTCCTTTGGAGTAATCCAAACTTGGTATTGGCCCGACTCACTTGTAGCCACGGGAAGGATGCACCATTTGCTTTATTGCATGCCAACATCAATGTTGCCACCCTCAAAGCGTTTGAACTGGAGTGGGGGGGGTGTTCCCCAACAAAGCGTAGGATCCCCTCGAACTAAGGCACGCCCTGGTCACCCCCTTACTACTCAACCAGAGTTTCGTGAATCCTGGGCGCCCAGTATTCCATTGCATTATTCAGGCAACGCTGGCTCAAGTCGTGCACCTTCTCATTGCCAACAAGAAGCTTCGAGCATAAAAGCTGCTTTGAGTGGGAAGAACTAAGGAAAAGCTTTGGTAAGATGCCAGTGTCCGACCCGGAAGAAAGCAGTGCCCACATGAGCTGTGCGCCTTCTCACTTATGTATTTTAGCCGGCGCCTGATTGAGAGCTGAGGCAAAAGAGGTCGCAGCCTTCAGGGTTGCCATGCTTGATGGAGAAAATGCCCAGGGATTCATCTGCCATTTTTTGCAAACATCCTTCATATCAACTGCCCCTTTCCCCTGGTTGCGTGGCGGGGCGGAAAGAAGATATTCGGAAAGACTTGGGCGGTCACTAGGAAAAAGCGCGAGACGAATGGTCGTTGTCAAGGGTTTGGCGTGGAGGACCTATTTGCACCAAAGTGCAGTGCTTTTCCAGGCGTGAATGGGTGTTGAGATTTCGTAAATGCGGGCATGCCCCGATCCTCATCTCAGTTTGGTCTGCCAGGGGTCGCTCAGTCGGTGGATTTCCTATTAATGTTGACCCCGACTAGTAAACCTGTCCCACTAGTAGGGCGTTTTCCTGGTTCAGTAAGGATTCATCGCTTTTGGAAGGGAACACCTCCCAATTAATGTCCACCTTTGATCAAAAATTGGGGCCCCTTCAACTTCGCTAAGCAAAATTGTCCCATTAGTAAATTGTTTAGTATTCGAATTGGCTCTTATTGACGTTGGCGTCTAGGAAGTCTAGCAATGCTCCTCTTGATTTGTTTTTGAGCTGCGGTAGGAAGTTTGGCAATTCTATTTGTGAATTGATTTGGTATCGCGGTCTAATTCCAGGAAGCTTGGCATTAATTTTACAAGGGGCAATCCTGCTATTGAATCGTGTTTGCAGTGGGATGCATTTCCAGGAAGTGACCCAAATCATTAGCTTTATTCAGGGCCAATGCTTTGTGGCAATAATGCTACTTCAAACATGGCAATACTATTTTTGAGTTGATTGTGTATTTGGATGTAGGCGTCACAAAAGAAAGCTGGCAATGGCACCAAAGATGTCAATCAACAGGGGGTCAAAATGTCTAGAGGCAACACACTCTTAGCTTTATCAAGGGCATGTGTGTTTGTGCAAACGCCTGGTGGGGGGGTACCCTTGGCTGATTGTGTTACGGTGTGTTTTTGAGAATGTTTTAGATTAAAACGCATCGTCATGCCGAAGAATGTATTTGCTGGACTGGGTCCAAACAAACCGGGTCGGGGATGGTTCAACAAATATATTGACTTTTTCTTCATTTGGGGGTTTTGGGGCTTAGCCGCAGCTGGGAATCAGTACTTAAAGGGTCTGGGTACTAAGTAAGTGGTTCGTAACCATGGTTACTAACCACTCAAGTACCCTGCCCCTTTGAGTAGGACGGGTGTATTCATCCGGGGTCGACTCGCGGCCTTTAGAGCCAGTCGGCTCTCAGCGGGCCACGAACTCGGAATGCGGGGCCTGGTGTTCAATGCCCCTCGGCGGGAGAGGCGGGAGACCTGCGATGGGCTCAAACTGGGGCCCGCTGGCCACTGGCCACCAGCTCAAGGATGTCCTTGGGGAGGAGTCCTCCTCCAATTTGTGTTGTTGTGTTTGGTTGTTTCTTTTCTGGTGCTGTTGGGTTCTTTTGTCATTGGGGATAAATTCCTCCTCCAAAATCCTCCAACGTTGAACATGTTTTCTATTTTCGGTGCGCGGAGTTGGGCCGAAGTGCCAATCGGAGGCGTGCTAAAGAGGCGTTTTGGTGCTTGATGGCATGAATGTGTTTAACCGTCTTTGAGATCAATGATATTATATATATATATAATTTGTTTGAGGTCTGTTTGTTTTTTTTGGTAGTGCTTTGTCAAACCCGGCTGCGGCCCCCTTTTGCCAGCAAGCGGGTCGCTCCCGGCCCAAACCTTGGCTGAGGGGGTGCTGCGGGGCGCTGTGCGCCTTCCTGGGCGCGGAGGCCCGGGCGCACCGACAAATGGTGCCAGTGGCGCTGGCGCAGCTGCTGCTGTTGGCGGACCAACCGCTGCCGCTTGGAAAAGGGGCGGCGGGCGGCAAAAGGGGCGGCTGGGTGGCTGGGCTGGGGGAGGTGGAGGGGGAGGTTGGTGGACGTGGGGTGGGGATGTGGGTGGGTGGAGGTGGGTCGGGGGAGGTGGGTGGGGGAGGTGATGCTGGTTACAAGGGCCTGAATAGCTAGAGGGTACTTTGAAACCATGATTAGGAGGTTTAGCCCGATGGGATTTCCAGGCTTCAGCAGAATTGTTTTAACACCTGAACCCTGGCCGCCCGAAAGGGAAAACCCAAAACCTAGGTCCCCCAGTAGTGTCCTTCTACCTTTTTTTGGGGCAGGGTTCCCCTACTAAAATAGACTACAGAAACGGTACCCTTATTCTAAGGAGGACCTAGTTGTTGATTACCCTGTTATCCACATCCTGGTGTTAAACAACACCTGCTGGAAAGCCTGATTTTAGTGGATGTTGAAAAGGGACCTACCCTCCCACTGCAACCCACCGGAAGGGCCCCTTTGAGAAGAAACTTTGTCTTTCAGGGGCCGGCAGTATGGAGGTACAGGGAGAATGCCCTTCTGCAGATCAACATAGATCCCACCAAATTGCCATTTTAGAGGAATCTCCTTTGGGAGACCCCTCATTTTGGAGTTCTGATTTGTTTGGGGGTGGCCCACCTTTCCGGGTTCCTTCCATTACTTTCATCGGATTTGCAGGGCTGCAGCTTCACACACCGCGACAATCCAAGGGACAACCCCGAGGCAACCGAAAAACCCCGAGGGACCGAGGCTCCCTCAAAATTATTGTTTTTTTTCTTTATTCAAACATTATTTCAATTAATACCGTTAAAAAAAATAATATAGTAAATAGAATTAATTAATTTATAACATTCAATATGTGGCCGTCCGGGACGACCCGAGGCTCCCGGCAAACCTCTCGGCGGTGGCGAAAGACTTTGGCTTCGATGACCAGCAGCGGGATGAGCTGCTCGGGGGCGTGGTGGCAGCGTCTCGGCCGCTTTGAGCGTACATTCTTGACTGCCATTGGGTTGGATCTTTAGACTTTAGCTTTGGGAAATCAAGGGGTTTTCCACTAAACCTCCAAAAAGTTGAACTTGTTGCAGGGGTCAACAGCAACTCAGAACGACACCTCCGGGGTGTCCAATGGAGGGCTCGGGTCTTCCATTGAAAGCCCCAGGAGCCTCTGGGCTCAAAAGAAATGAGTGCCCGAGATGCGGGCCAAGCTTAGGTCCCCTGAAAACCCAACGAAGCCAACCTGCGGTGGTCTGCTTCTGTATACCCCCTTTTTTGTGCGCCAACTCCACCCAACTCCACCCCAACTCCGCCCCATCCACGAAAAGGAGGCCGCCCAGCCACGCGGCCACATCACCAGGTGGTCTTCTTCACCTCCGGCGCCTTGTCCTCGCTGACGGCGGGGTATCTGGCGGACCTGGTGAGGCCCCTCCATCCGAAGCCGCGATGGGACGGCGGGCGCCCAAAGCATAGGGAATATGGGGGGAACCCACTCACGAAAAGCATATATTCACCCTGCAAATCCCCGTGGTTTCTGGTTGCTTCCCTTGCTGCTTTTTAGGGCATCCGGTGGGGGCCCTTAAGTTACCGCAAGTGGTCCATACGGTCCTAGTTTCCGGAATCGGTCCTTGATCGTTTCGGTCAGTTCTTCGGTCGTTCTACACCGGTCCCGGAAAACATGTATGATTTTCAGATACAGGCTCTGGCTCATGAAGTTTCCCTATAGGGGATGGTGTTTGGAGATTTCAAGAGTTGCTGGTTTGGGTTGTCCATTTGCTGGCGCCCCTGGTTGGTTCCGGTGAATTTTTGGTTTGTAGTTTCACGTGTTGTGAATTTGGGATTGCATAGCTGCAGGTTTGGGTTTCATTTGCTGGCGCCATGGCTGGTTCCGCCGAATCGGTTGTGCATTTGAGATCCCACGTTTGAATTCCATGAGTGGCCCAGGTTTCTTTCGAAAGGGAGCGGTGGTAGGTCGTTTCACGGCAGCTTGGTCCGTTTGCTTGCCCGTTTTTCATATTCCTCACAAACCCCAGGCGTTCAAGCGTTCTTCGTTCTTAGGGAAATTCCTCAGCAACCCTAGAAGCTCCCCTCTCCCAAAAGACAGACTAGGTCCCGTAGTAGGGAAAAGGGTTCCCCACCAAAATAGACCACAAGAAAAAGGTTACCCTTATTCTAACCTCTCTACTGGAGGACCTAGCAGACTGGCCCGTCGAAATCCTGACTCGGACAGACCGGCCAGCTCCTTGCAGGCGTACCACGATGATTTCCACCTGCACGCTGCTGGGGGCGGCCGGGTCCTTCTCCAATGCCTGGGCCGTTTGGGCGCAAAGCAGCACATACCCCGTGTGTGTAGGGTGTCATTCTAGGGGTACCTTCCCCATTCTTTCCAGAGATCCTCCTTTTCAGGAAGCAATCAAAAACCCAGGGGAAACAGCCGGTTTTTGAAAAGAACGATGGTTAACAAGAATGGGGAATAAATCCCTAGAGTCATGTTTTTCATTTTTTGGGGGGGGTTGTTGCAAGCGAAGCCATCAGGAAACCAGCCAGTTTTCGGACTCCCATGAAAACTAACAAGGAACCTGCCAGGGGGGTCTTTTGATGCCTCATGCAGGTGTTATGTTTGTTTTTTGAGGGCTCCTGCTCATTTATATTGCGCCCAAAAAGTGGGTCCAAGTTTGGTTCCTCTAGAATGTGTGGTGTTTCGGGTTCCCAGAAGCGCAAAATCAATTTGTTTGCACCAGAGGACACCACAAGCTTCTGTGCACCAGATCCCTTTGGAAGCCAGCTATGAAACATTCATGTGCATTTTGTTTGGCGATTTGAACCCCTGGCTCTTGTGGAGGGTAATTAAAAACGAGAAGCTCCATTTCACCACCAAACGGGGCTCCACCTGTTTTGAGGGAAGCACCGTGGTGCTTCCCATTTTTCTAGGGGTACCTTCCATTTCCATTCTTTCCAGGGACCCTTCTCCTCCAGAAACCCAGAAAAAACGGCTGGTTCTTGAAAAGAAGGATGGTTGACAAGAATGGGGAAGCAACCCCTAGAGTTTCCCTGCTGGACGTGGGCTTGGCTTTTTGCGGACACTTAAAGTGGGCCCCATGTCCCGAACCCCAGCAAGTTAAAATTCGAGGGTGAAGGATGTTTTCCACAGTAGGGGTTCTTTGGCTTGTCTTCGGGTTAGTTGTGTTGGGGATTCCTTGCTGAGAACCAAGCTGGGGAAAACCCAGCACAACACACTGGTTCTCCAGCTTGGTTTCCCAAGATTAGGTTCTCAAACCCAGGGCTCTCAAACCCAGGGCAGGGCTCTCAACACAAAACCCAAGGTTCTCAAACCCAGCACCAAGCTAGATTAGGGCTGTGCTCCTATCTTGGAGCTCCTATCTGTCCAAACCTCCTTTGACGGAAGCCGAGTTCCGCCGGCTCAGGTCTCCACCTTCGCGGCGTTGCTGGTGTGCCGCGCGTGTGTGGGCGCTGCTCGACCTGGCGCTTGGTGTTTCTGGGGGTTGATTCCTTGTCCATTCTTTCCACATGGCAAATTCGCCCCCCCACAACCAGGTCGAACATGGGAGCCCAACAGAAGAAGCGCAGATGCAAGTTGTGTTGGAACAAGTGGCCAGCTTTGCGATACCCCCTCAGAGATGGCAACATCCCACGACCATGCAACCAAAAGAATAACAACCCATTTTGCTAGCTGGGTTCCACTGGTTTTATGCGGCTTGCAGCGAGGCGAATCCTTAAAGAATTCATGAGCTCACTTGCCCAAAGCTGTCGGTTCCCCTGTTGGTCCACTTTTAGTCATGGCCCCGAAAGGGTAACCTCTTGTTTGTGGGTCCAAAATGGCTAGGTCCCCCAGCCCTTTTACCCTTTTTAGGGGTAAGGTTCTACTAAAAAAAGACTACCCAGAAAAAACAAGTACCCTTATTCTAACCCCTCCACCGCACCCAAAACAAGCTCCGAATTCCGTTTCGAGAACCTCCCTCCCCTTCCCTCCCCTCCCCTCCTCTCCCCTCCCCTCCCCCCCTCCCCATTTGTTCCGTCAGGCTGCCTTTGGCGGCCTCATCCCGGCGAGCTACGCCATCATCGGGGACTTGTACCCGCCAGAGGAGCGTCCGCATGCTATCGCGGTGCTGCTGCTGATCTCAGGCGAGGGGGTTGTTGAGGGAATCGTTCGCTGAATGCTTAAGCCTCAAGTCGCCAGACTTCTGTTCCATATATTAGGCGGATCCTTTGGACTGGAAAGTGGTCCAATTGAACATGACTGTCAGGGAAGAACACCAAACAGAAGGGCATTTGTCAAAGGGGAGTTGGACCAAAACGCATTAATGGGTTTGGTTCTTCCTGTTGGTTTCCCTTTACACCAACCTGAGAGGGTTTACTCTCAAAACATATGAGGCAACACCTCTTAGATTATTTGGGGGGTGGGGGTGGGGGGAGTGAACACTTTTGTCGTTGCCAAACATGTCCACTATTGTTGGGCAGGATCAATCGTGCCTCCCAGCGGACTCACCAAAGACGCCCCAATGGAACTTGGAAACCGTGCGTTTGCCGAGGATACTCCTTTTAGGGGTTCGATGCGGGTGTGGGTCAAAATTAAACCAGCAGGTTGTAGTCTAAGTTTCCATTTACCGGGGTTCCATTTTGGTGTTACCGTATTTGTTGACCCACCGCCATGTGAACGTGCAAAAAGCCGACAAGACCAATGCTTTGGGATTATCTTAAGCCAAAGGCGAGAACGCACAGCTCGGTGAGAGTGGGGAATACACCGCAAGCAAAGAAAGGAGCAAACGTAAACCTGACTGCGGAACCACCAGTGGTAACCAGTCTAATCCACCAAACCAGGGACTACCTTCATGAACGAAATTGACCTGCAAGGGCCAGGGCAAATGGGACTAGTAGCGCTTGCTAAGCGGAAGTCATGAATCTAACCAGGCACAATGAGAGCAAGAAGTGTCCAACACATGGGCTGCCTTTGTGTTTCGGGATTCCTTGACACAAAACGTCCCCAGTCTCAACACACTCACGGGTGTTCTGACAGCTTTGCCGCTTGCAGCCGAGCAGCCATCGAGAAGATGAAATCAATGGCTTAAAGGCATCAGTTGGTCAGCATTTGGCATTAAAAAGGCATGCCACATGCCCAGCAGTACAAGTCGGGTCACTTTGAGGTCAGGTTTGGCTCCGATTTTAGTGAAACCCCGGAGCCTTTCGCTCAAGTCTTGAGACCACCCAACCCAACCCCCGTTTTTATGGTGCCAGGATCTGGTTTTCGGCATAACTTTTGCCAAGCCTCAATCCATCACCCCTCCAGTTTTGCCAAAAAAACATATTGGGGTCTGTCTTTCTAACCACCCCACCCCACCCCACCCCACCCCACCCCACCCCACCCCACCCCACCCCACCCCACCCCACCCCACCCCACCCCACCCCACCCCACCCCACCCCACCTGGTCCAGGCCTGGGCCTCTCGCTGGGCCAGGCCCTGGCCAACTGCGGCTGGCGCTTCGCCTTTGGCCTCGTGGGCTCCCTGGGCCTCTGCCTGGGCCTGGCGCTGCTGCTGCTGATGCAGGAGCCCAGCCACACCAGGCGCGCCACGCGCCACGCGCCACGCGCGATGCGCGCTCACCGCGCGCTGGTTCGTCGCGTGGTTTTGTAGTTTTTCCCCGGCGGGGTGTTCGTCGGATTTTTCGGCGGCTTGCAGGGAATGAGAGAGAGTGAGGCTCAAGGGGAGAAAACGGCGGCAACAAGTGCCGCGGTTTGTGAGAAATGGACATTTTCGGGGTTGACAAGGGATAAAGTATGCAAGCGTGTCATTTGCAAATCGAAGGGTTGTGTTTGGGGAATGTGAGTGAGGGCAACAACTGTGCTCCGCCTCTGAACCTTCAAAGCAATCTACACAAAATATCTCATTTGCTCAAAGCCGACCTGTTGGTTTCCTTTTTTTTGTCGTTGGCCCCAAAAGGTTACAACCCGAAAGAGAGAGAGAGAGAGAGAGAGAGAAAGTGGGAGTGGGGCAATGTTGAAGGTGCGCGACTGCACTGTGGGCGCACCGATCGCTATTGAACAAGTAGTTTCCCATGGAAGGAAGGGTTCCTGTGCACCAAACCATGTTTGTTGATGGAAGGGTGCCGTAGCTTTGCGGTCACTTGATTTTGACCAAGAACAGCAAATCCTGCTTAATAGACATGCGTCTCGATTTAGAGACAAACCTTCAGGTTTTTTGCAAACCACCCAAACGGGGTCGAAATTAGTGGATGAGTCAATCGATCAGGGAAGTGAAGGTTAGTAAGGGTCAGTTGCAACCAGAAATCGGAGCGAATATCCGCTCTTTTGCTTTTGTTCGTTGTTTTTGGGCAATAAAAGGTGCTACGTAATTTGAATGGTGATTTGGGTGCTAGCAAACAGTGTTAGGGTCATGATCATGGGATACCAATTCATACATAGTTTGCAAGCCTTTGTTTGCAAGCCTGACTCAGATGGAACTTCGGTTATTCAATGGGCCCCTTTTTTTTCTGTTTGTGGTTGGCTTCCCTTCTTACGGGAGGTGGCTTTAGCAAAAATAATGAAAGAAGCATTTTCATGTTGCCGCCATATTAATCAACCCGAGTTTGTTTTAAAAAAGGGGGGTGTCCCTGGGTGGAATGGGGTGTGAAGCTGGATTAATACGTCAACATTATTGCAGGAAGGATGGTGCGGGTGGCAGCCTGACGGCCCTCCGCCTGGCCATGTGCAAGAACACTGTGCTCTTACTCTGCCTGCAAGCCACCTGGACGTCCGAAGCGGGTATGAGCGTGTATTGGCTAATGGAAATTGTGGGATTTCGGCATCGAAAGGAACAGACAAAAATGAAGCCTTGGTGGGGTCTGGGGAAGCAACAATAATGAATTGAGGTGTGTGTAAAAATGGAGGGGCTGCAACAAAATGCGGATTTCCTCCTGTTGGTTTCCCTCAGAGCCAACGTGAAAAAGGCACCTTGAGCAAAAACCACGTCCGCAAATGAGCTTCTTTGGGCAAGGCTCCTGGAGAGAACGTTGCGCAATGGTTAGCTCTCACTGAGCTGTGAAGAAGCATTTGCCTGCCATTGCCGCCAACAAAAGGTTTCAGTATTGATCCCCGTCAGTTCCAAGTCCATTCCCTTGGGGATGCAGGCAATGTGTCCAAGCCCTGTCCCATGTTGATGAGTACCTATTGAGTCTACCCCTGCACTTGGCCCTAGACTTGCAACATGTTGGCACATAGATTTGTTGCTTGCCAACGCACCTGTGGTTTGACAAGCAGTGGGAAACCGCATTTTTGCAGCCTTGAAAGGGAAATTAACAATCGCCAGCCACCCAGAGCAGATCCTCAATTTGTCTGCAAACATCTAAGCCCCCTTTTGGTTGGTTCCATCACGGAAACCAAACGAACACCTCGCCTTTTTTTTGTGGTTCCCCATTATGGTTTGGGACAAGTTGGTTGACTTCACGTGTTGGGAAGAAATGCTTGAGTTGCAAAAACTATGTTGCAATCACCTTCTTGTATTTTAGAAAGGTTCTCGTCTGCAATCTCCACAGGAACATTCCCTCCATGTCTGGAGGCTCCGAGGCCACGTGTTTTTTTTTTTGGGGGGGGCGGGGGAAAAAATGGAGAAAAGAGGGGGCCTGGGGGGAAGAGGGAGGAGTGTTGGGGTTATTGGGTCAAATGTTGTTATCCAACGTTTTAACACCCTTGTTTGATTTCTTCCTATATTTTGTTGTAGGGTGTTAGGGGTGGATTTTCTGGGGGCCGACATTTTTTTCATTTGAAAGAGGTAGCCCTTTTAGTAGTTATTATGTTCTGGGGTGTTGGTGGTTCATTTGTTTATTCCTATTCTTGTTCAAAGTCACTTGTTGTTTCCATGTAATCTCTCACAGTATCGTTATTGTTTTCTTGACCTTTCACTCTTAGTTGGTGCTTACTTGTTTGTTGGTGTTTTTTCATTTTGTATTTTCCTACCATACATTTACATAAAGGACATTCTACTTTCAATTGGTTATAGTCTTTCTGTTTTTCATTTATGTCTTCTTTGTTCTTTTCTCTATATTCTTTTGATTTTTGCTTTATTTCGTCTTTATGCTTTTCACGATAAATCTTGTTCTTTTCCAGTATAGTGTCTTTGTTATTCTCTCTATATGTCTTTTTCTTCTCTACAATCTGCTCTTTGTTGTTTTCGTAATACTCCTTTGACTTTTGCTGTATTTGTTCTTTGTGTGCTTCTCTATACCGCCGTTTGCTCTCCAAGCATACATTACATTGTTTTCTTCCTTCGTTGAACTTTTCTAACAATTGAAAGACTTTACATTTGGAACATTGCTTTTTGTCTGTCATTGGTCTCTATATGTTTAAGGGGTTATTTCTTTAGATAAGTTTAAGGGGTGTTATAGGTTAAAAGTTCAGTATAATTATAACATATAAGATTTTACATGTTATTATTATATTATGATTATAATTTCAGTTCAGGATAATAATCTAATTGGTTTGTCTTACTTCTTTCATACATCATTTTAAAAATAATATTAACATCTCTCAATGTATTTTGAATATTAAACTTTTTACTTTCAATAAATAATTTGATATTGTCTTTAACATCTTCTCCTTTCTCTTGACTATAACCCAACATCCATAATATATCATCAATCATTTCATATTGTTCTTACTGATTTTAAGAAACTGATTAATATAATCGTAAGGTGGTATTTTATTCACAGTTAGAAATATTAAAATCTCATCTTCTACATTTCTATTATGTATTATTTTTATTCCCAACAGACATTTGATTAAAAATTGATTATCTCTCCATGTTTTACAATTTTTACATATGTCTTCTTCACTATCCATTGAATAGTTAATAATATTATTCACTATTTCATTAGGTAAATTCAATTTATACAATTCCATATTTTCTTTTTTGAAGTGACAACAATCCTAGCATTTTTTATCGATATAATTATTGATTCCATCACCGTTCATTTTTCTCTTAATATATAAGGTACTATTTCTTTAAGTAGTTTTGGCTAGGGGTTGCTGGTCGGCTGGTCTGGGTTTCAGGTTTAATTTAAATGTCTTAACCTTCTTGTTAGATTATAAAACAATGTTTAATCATATTATAATTAAATATTATGATTAAACCATGAAATCATTGTTTCTGTTTTCTATAAATTTCAATTGTAACATGTTCGATAGTAATGATTTCGTGTCGTTTCATAGTCTGTTTGGTTTCTTCAACTGCTTGTTCAATATGGTATTGTAATGACGCTCTACTTGAAATCTTATTCTGTTTAGATGATGAATAAGAACGACTGTTGCAAATATTATTATTATACATAATTTTTGAACTAACTTCTATTCCAACCTGTATTTCTTCATCATACTTCATCATTCTTAATAATTCTTTTGGTGGTTTCAACGCATATGAAAGCGCTTTATCACCTTTTAAACATTTATTGCGAATCTCAACATAATATTTACTTTCTCCTACTTGCTCAATGTATATAGACGGTTTCCATTTCCTCTGTAATTCTCTTAAAGCATCACATTGTTTCAGTCTTCGCCACCCTTCACAACCATTAATGTAAGTATTGATGATTGAAACTAAACCCTCAGGTAAGCTAGTCCAATTCTCAACTATAAAATTATTCTCTGACATTTTACCCTCACTCATTTTTCTCTTTATATATAAGGTTTTTTCTCTTTAAGTAGTTTTGGCTAGGGGTTGCTGGTCGGCTGGTCTGGGTTTCAGGTTTAATTTAAATGTCTTCACCTTGTTGTTAGGTTATAAAAACTAGGTTTAATCATATTAGAATTGAATAATATCATTAAACTAAATCACTCACGCTTTCCATCCACCTATTCCATCCCACCAGAATTCAATAATTCGCATCTGTCCATCTACTAGACTGTCTTCTTTGTTTAGTTTCCGTATCGCTCCTGATAAGATATAGTGGTTAATAATCATTGCATTAAACTTTCCATCTCGGTTTAACTTTTTACCACAGTCTTTTATGATGTCTTCATCTGTTAATGTTCACCTATGATTAATAAATAGGGGGGCCCCCCCCCCCCCCTGAATGACCATAAATAAAGATTGGGGGAGAATTTTCAGGGTCGGGCCTTGTTTAAAGGAGTTTAGTATTGGGCTCAGTTTTTTTGGTTTTCGAATACTACTTTAGAATTGGGCCAATTCAAAAGTAGTATTGGGCATGTTGTTTTTTCTTATTTTGCTTTGGGGGAATACTAGTTTAGAATTTGGCCAATTCTAAAGTAGTATTGAGCCAAGAACTTTTGCATGCATTTGCATGGGCAGGCATGTATTCCAGCAGGGATTGAAAAGGACATTCATGAGGGGCTGGCATGCATTTCAGGAGGGATTGAGAAGGACATTCATGAGGGTTTGCATGGGCTGGCATGCAGGAGGGATTGAGAAGGACTTCATGAGGGTTTGCATGGGCAGGCATGCATTCTAGGAGGGATTGAGAAGGAAATTCATGAGGGTTTGCATGGGCAGGCATGTATTCCAAGAGGGATTGAGAAGGACATTCATGAGGGTTTGCATAGGCAGGCATGAATTCCAAGAGGGATTGAGAAGGAAATTTATGAGGGTGTGCATGGGCTGGCATGCATTCTAGGAGGGATTGAAAAGGAAATTCATGAGGGTTTGCATGGGCTGGCATGCATTCTAGGAGGGATTGAGAAGGACATTCATGAGGGTTTGCATGGGCTGGCATGCCTTCTAGGAGGGATTGAGAAGGACATTCATGAGGGTTTGCATGGGCAGGCATGCATTCCAAGAGGGATTGAGAAGGACATTCATGAGGGTTTGCATGGGCAGGCATGTATTCCAAGAGGGATTGAGAAGGAAATTCATGAGGGTGTGCATGGGCTGGCATGCATTCTAGGAGGGATTGAGAAGGAAATTCATGAGGGTTTGCATGGGCTGGCATGTATTCCAAGAGGGATTGATAAGGACATTCATGAGGGTTTGCATGGGCTGGCATGCATTCTAGGAGGGATTGAGAAGGACATTCATGCGGGTTTGCATGGGCTGGCATGGATTCCAAGAGGGATTGACAAGGACATTCATGAGGGTTTGCATGGGCAGGCATGCATTCTAGGAGGGATTGAGAAGGACATTCATGAGGGTTTGCATGGGCAGGCATGTATTCCAAGAGGGATTGAGAAGGACATGCATGAGGGTTTGCATGGGCTGGCATGTATTCCAAGAGGGATGGAAGGGAGTCGCCCATGAGGGTTTTTGATGGGCAGAAGGAAGAGTTCAAGCGGGATTGAGAAGGGACATTCATGAGGGTTTCTTTGCATGGGCTGGGCATGCTGCTGAGGGGGATTGAGGAAGGACATTTTCATGAGGGTTTGCATGGGCAGGCATGCATATCTTAGGAGGGATTCGAGCACAGACACACATGGAGGGTTTGCATGGGCAGGCATGTATTCCAAGAGGGATTGAGAAGGACATTCATGAGGGTTTGCATGGGCAGGCATGAATTCCAAGAGGGATTGAGAAGGACATTCATGAGGGTTTGCATGGGGTGGCATGCATTCTAGGAGGGATTGAGAAAGAAATTCATGAGGGTTTGAGTGGGCTGGCATGCACCAGGAGGGATTGGGAAGGAAATTCATGAGGGTTTGCATGGGCTGGCATGCATTCTAGGAGGGGTTGAGAAGGACATTCATGAGGGTATGCGTGGGTCAATGTATTGATTTTGATGGTTTTTAAAAGGAATTCTAAAAGAAAGGGATCCCATAAATTTGTGGATTTGGGATACATCTAGAATCAAGTGTGGGATGAGCCAAGTGGAATGGAAAGCTTGACCATGAATAAAGATAAGGGGATCAGATCTATTTTTTGATGGGGGAATCTGGTTAGCATTATTCATGGCCTGGTTATCATTTAGCGCCTCAGGGTTCATGGGGGGGTACCCTTGCTGCCAGGGTCAATGCGTTGATTCTAAATTTGTGGATTTGTGATAAATCTAGAATCAAGTGTGGGATGAGCCAAGTGGAATGGAAAGCTTGACCATGAATAAAGAT